GGGTGGGCGGTTTGGCGGGTAGACGGGTTGGGTTTAATTGGGTTGTTAGCGGGTTGGGTTGGGCGGGTTTCGCGGGTTGACGGTTTTTTGTACACCCCTATCTTCCATTCTGTTTTTGTCTGTTCAACATAAAAAAGTCAATGCCGAATGTGGAACATGATCCCTGTTATAATCTGTTCTGTCCTTATTAGTGTGCCAAACGCACTCTAAGTGTCTACATTTCTGTTTTAGTTTGTCTAAATGTAAAGTGTCTCCTTTCCAAAATAAGTGTTCACTTTCTAATTTTACTCTTAATTATGAGATGAGAAATTAATTACTTCCTCTATAACTAGGGATAAAATTGTCATTTAGTTAATTATAATTACATATTTCTGATATTGTCTACCTTTGAACATTTATTTCAAGACAGAGGGAGTAACTTAACAACTTGTCATCCATCGATTCATCAATAGTTACAAAACCTATCGGTTATCGGTCAAAATAGATACAAATCAATCTTACTCTAGCTTTTGTGCAATAGGTGAAAGCCATGGAACTGATTGATCAACTGGAAGTGACTAGGCGTGGACCATATAGCGGTGGATTTGGAGGGATCTCGTTCACCGGAGACATGGATATTGCCTTGGCCTTAAGAACGATCGTGTTTCCAACAGCACCTCGCTATGACACAATGTATTCATACAGGGATGCAAACAAGCGGCGAGATTGGATCGCTTACCTTCAAGCCGGGGCAGGCATAGTAGCTGATAGCGATCCTGGTGACGAACAGAGAGAATGCGAGAACAAGGCTGCGGCTCTCGTCCGTGCCATCGATCTTGCCGAGTCGTCGTTTGTGGATAAATGAGAGATGCAATCAACTTCCATTAGAAACTTGGGTTTAGGAGACCAGTCCATGGCTACCATCATTAGATTTTTGTTCATCTGAGAGTAATGCAAAGCCATTTTCAAGCTTTTGGTTTTGTTGCTTCTTTTTTTTAAGTATGGGACTGAAGAAAGTTGGAATTATCAGTGAAAACATTCACTTTGGTTTTTTTTATTGGTAAAATACAACAAAGTTTCTTTTTAGTTCATATTTAATGCAATGAAAATGTCACAAAAATCCTTATTTTGTTTCTGTTTGAACCGATAACTTGCTGATATTAATACTTTGATTTATGAGAATTAGGATTGAATAACAAAACAAACTATTTAAGAATCAAAAATCAAATGAAAAACAAAAAAGACAACAAAATGTGACAAACCAATGAACAGTGGTTTTTGTTTTTCAGTGAAACTTGAATTTGAAACTGAAATTTTAGTACAACTTTGCAACGGAATTACATTAGTATATATCTCAATAGTCGTTTCTAATCCATGAACATTAATAGAACGGTCTTATATTTGTGGTTGGTGTTAGGGGCGGACCTATAAGAAGTTGAGTGGGATCTCAAGCGCTCACCCGATTACTGCAAGAGAATTTTTTTTTTAAGTGTTTGATAGGTGCAATCGCTCGATTTTGAGGGTTGTCGTTAAATAATCTTGAAACCAAATCAGTTACAGAATATGAAAACGGGTGAGATGGTTGGATTACCACTTTTTTATCTTTTAATTTTAGGCTACAAAACTGGCTTAGATTATTTAATCAGGCTTACAATGCTATTTTTAAGAATCTGAACAACAAAATTATAGTTACCATTAAACTCACAACCTCAAGTACACTTATAAGCTTTACTACCACTGTCGAAGGATCGTGTGAGAATGCTAGTTAAAGTGAGAAGCCTAAAGGGATATGGACCCTTGATCACATTTAATTTCAATCTCACCCTGAATCGCGTTTATATGAGGATTGATACGGCGCATCTCGATGTATCTCATTCTAATATGCATGCAAGCGTGGAGATCTCTTCTTACATTTCTCACCTTAATTCTCCTTTTTCACCCGAACCCAACCATACTACCACTATGCCAAGACAATTTTTTGTTAATGTTTCTCTCAAATAACTTTTTTTTCTTGATTTATTTTCCATCCCAATGTCAAATTGTCGATCATCTTAAAATTATCGTTTCTTATCTCATTTTCGACGCAACCTATATTTACTTTGATGATCAAGGTAGATTTTATTTGAAAAAATGTATCGTATTTCTCAAATCGACACAATTGACTTTTCCAAAAGTCAAACCACGTTGACTTTCTCTCTTGGTCAAAGCTTAATTTTGCGACCTCTGATTCATTTTAAAGGTGCACCTACTCAAATAAATTTTTTGACTCGACACTGGTTGGTGTTTTATAATTTGGATTGCTGATTGACTTGAGTCAAGTTTTGTTTGTTAACATGTTGGCATAGAAGTTATTTTTGCCAAGTAAAAATTTTATTTTCATTTAAAGATAACATGTTCCTATTTAAAATGAAAAGAAAAAAAAATATTTCATTCGACTTGGTTTTGCTATGATAATCATTAAAATTCAGAGACAAGACAATTATGAAACCATGTGTATATTTATTGACTTGAGTCAAGTTTTCTTGCTTACATTTATTCAAGTACTACATCTCGTCATATTGTACGAGTACATAACTAATAATAAAGATATGGATATATTATAAAGGTTGGGTTCTGGTGAGAATGAGAGTTAATGTGAGAAGCATAAGAAGGGATATCCACCCTTGAATGCACATTAGGATGAGATGTACTGCGATACACTGGATCAATCTCCATATCAAGCACAATTCATAAGTGGTTTGAGATTAAAGGTCATCAAAAGTCCAGATCCCTTAACTCTCCTTCTCCCACGATTTTTCACCTATACTTTAAATGGTGATAATAACCAAAATACATGCAAAGTGTTGAAAGATTTTGATAGTGATTTTTAGAAAGAAAATACTCAAATTAGAAAAAAAAAATAATTAAAAAAATGGAACAAAGACTCGAAACAACCTTGAACTCTACAACCCTTGTTTTGTATGATACCCAAATAGACAAATTACATTTCCATCCCTATCCTTATATAACCCATCCCTAACTCTTATCTTATGCATCAATCACTTGTACATCACACAAACACTAGAGAAAGAATGAAGGGAGCTTCTGCTTGCAGTGTGCTTCTCTTGGTTGTACATTTGAGTTTACTAAACAATGCTCTAATGGTGTTTGCTGTTGATCCCACACAAGGCTTTACCAACGTCCCTTTGACACCAAGTAGCTTCATATACCAAAAACCCTACAACATACCACTTGAAAAACGGTACAGTTTCAACCATGGAGTTCGTCGGTTTTGGGTCTACGCTAACGATCTGCCGTTCGAACGTGGAAGCAACACACGACCTCGAACGGAAGTTCAAATAAAAGTAAGCTTTAATAAATTTCCTAAGATTTTTTTTATTCTAATTCATAAACGACGAGGAACGAAAGTAAGATTACACACGCTTTATAGAAAATGATAATATTATTCAATACCATCAAACTTATGAGATTCGGCCCTTTTAAGGGCGAATCTATGTTTAGCAAGTAGCCAAAGATCCCAACGGAAAATTACACATAATTGACTATTGCTTAAATAGATGCGTGAAAATCAGGTTACGTTACGGGTAGAGGCTAGCCTTCTTGGAGGTCAAGAGATCAAGCGTCACTAAAAATGAAGAGTGTGTGTTGGCATTTTGCGTGACAATTCAAAACCATTTGATTTCACACAATCTACTATTATAATTAAAACTATAAAAACCAAAAATCCCAAGAAAAGATCGTTAAATCCCATGAGCTATTTTTTATCCGTGCATATATTACAGGCCACATAACTCCTAATGGATCAAAAGTTATGCACATTTTAAGTTGGGTTTCTTTCCGGCTTGTTTGTCTTTCTTTTGTTGGGTCTCATTATCGCGGTTCTTTAAAATGCAGCCAGACTACACGTCAGGAATTTGGCAATTCGAAGGTTATGCGTTCATACCACATGGAACCTCGGGGGCTACGATCGTGCAAATCCATGGTGCAGCCCAGGGCAACACGACGATATTACTAAGGATCTATAATGGAGACATGAGGTATTACAATGGGGAAGTAATTGCGACTGATTTGTACGATAAATGGTTCAAGGTGAATTTAATTCACAATGTCGATCAAGGGAAAGTGATGGTTTACATTAACAACGTTAAGAAATTCGAGTCACACGACGAAGGTCCAGGAAACTTATATTTTAAATGTGGTGTTTATGGTGCCCCCAGTGATACAAGTCGATATATGGAATCGAGATGGAGAGAGATCAAAATATACAAAAAGGAGTCGTAAAAAACTTCTTAAGAAAATTAACAGTGTGTGTAATATAAAATATTTGTATTATAATTAAAAATAGTATACGCACGTGATCGTGATGTGAATTCATATATTTATTTCCTCTTTCTGTGCATACGCCTCATCCATTTCCCTTTTTCTTTTGGGTTTTTTAAATTTAATTTAACTAAGGCTCCGTTCTGTTTGGTTAATGTTGAGGAATGAAAATGACAAGAATCGAGAATCTTGACCAATAAGAGCAATGATAACGATGGAGAATCACATTTACTGACGTTTTGATAGACTACAATCTTACCCGATAAAATAAGTTGAGTGTTAACTCTTAACCATAAGCGTTTACCGTTCAACTGGAATCAAAACTTGTTTGTTGTTAGGAGGTAAAGAATCCAAACTAAACTCGGGTGTCAAAAAACCCCACTTGATACAACACAAACAATCTCAACTTCAACCATAAAACCCTGCATAATTTTTGCTTTTCCTGCCAATACACAACTGTGCGACTAAATCTGTTGAAATAGATCTATGGTCAACAATTTGTAATTTGTGGCCTCCAACCAATCAGTTAACGGAATTACGCTCGTAAAATTCATCCTCGGTGTTACTACATCTTAATCCTTCCTTCTATGGTGCCGACTGCTCCTTCTGTCGGATTCTTGATCTTCTCTCTGACTGGTTCTTCTGCGGGATTCTTGATCTTCTCTCTGACTGGTTCTTCTGCTGGATTCTTGATCTTCTCTTCGATAGGATTCTGAATCATGTTTCGACCTTTTTTCCTTCCTCCTATCACCTCCTTCCCCATAATTCATTTCAGAATCATATTTTGTCGGTTTTCTCCCATGCCCATGCAGATCTTCGTCTTTCTTCGGTTTCAATCTTCTGGTGTCTTCATCTCTTGAATCCTTATCACGTGTCCTCATCTTTTCGGCAGCAGATTGATTTGACGGGCCTGATCCTCTTTCACTCCTTGTTGGACCTTGGAACTTGTCGTTCTCCCATTTTGAATTTTTAGCATCTTGAGGACCCCAACCTGTGTTTGCAGCTCTCTGAGCATCAACGGAAATTTAGTAGATTAATTCCTAGGTAAAAAATAAGTAAAGCAGTGCCTGAACACATCGCAATGAGAAATAACCATATCCAACAATAGAAAAAGATAAATCAATTTAACTTTTTGCATATTTTTAAGTTGAACGAGTAATTTAAGTGCCATTTGGTTAGTAGAATGCTTTATGAAATAATGAAATCTATCAAATGAATTGGAATCTTCAAGAGAGGGAAGGTGAACAGCAGTGGCGAGGTTTACAGCGCTCCGGGGTGGTGCAGATGGTCAGTGGTGGGAGAAGCAACGACCAAATCAGGGTGGTTTTTTGGTGCTTCAAGGTGTAACCAGATGGAGGAGGGAAGGGGAAAAAGGGAATATTTGTCTTCTGGAATAGATTTCAAAGGAAGTCTTTGAAATCCTTGTTCAACCCTATGGAATGGCCAAATCAGGAGGTTGGTGGAACTCAAGGATTTTAAAGATTACACGTCTCAAAAAGATTCAACCAAACAGGAGGATGGTTTGGTCAAAGGAATTGGCCATTCCAATGAACAGCAGCTAAGATTCTACTGCACATTTCAGATGGTATATTTCTTTTTTGAGAACCAGTTTTGTTGTTCCAAATTGAGTGTCGTTCAACGGTTCCCTCAATCAAATCCAGATCAAGCACATCCTTCTTCTATGACGTTACTTGAAGATTATCTTAAAAATTTCCAGTGACAAACTTAGACACAAAAGAAATTGATACTGGCTTGGAGTTACTATATAACTTGATCTTTCAAGTACCATGAATACTCTAGATCGCAAGAGCATGAGCTACGTTTAGGTCCAGTTGTTCGATCAACCACACCTTGAGGTGAGGATGGTTGTTTACTTCAGGATCCTACAACCTATAAGGGTTCGGGTTGGTACATGGGACAGGATGGAACATGACAGAACAAAAACTTGGTGTCCCACGTTTGGTGCAAGATTAGACTGAGACAGATGGGACTGACAGGAACAAAAATGCATTTTTTTGGTCCCACAAAACATATGGAAGAAAAACCAGCGCAATGGGATAAAATTGGTAAATTTTTTATCAACCCATGTCAAATTACAACCCTAAAACCTTCTACAATTCTCACCCATCTACCTCACCCTTGCCCATCCAGTCTTGTCACGTTCAGTCCAGTCATGTACCAAAAACACGCTAACGGAAATTCTTGTGTAACCTCTTCTGCTCCCCCATCCCCTGAAACAAAAGGTGATACTCCCTCCATGCTCGATCATGAGAGCATATACACAAATTTTCCAATTTCAGTGAGCCAAATGACTTTCATAAGACCAACTGACGAACGGTTTGAAAAGGTAAATAAAAATTATAAACCTATTCAAACTCTTGGTTGAAATTAACAAAATTATAAATCAGGTCAACAATTTCTTGTTAAAGATGAAACTCTTCCATGATTGGCTGCTCCTGTAACTTGAGTTCCTTCATTAGAAGTTGAACTGGATTTTAATGGAGTTCCATGGACTAGAGTTTTCTGACCTATATATGATACTATTTCAACATCTTATCCATTTTATATGCCTTCGATGTCCATTACTTTAACCAAGTGTTTAATGTAAGTCAACATCCATACATAATTACATACTAGTATATGGAACCCCAGCATATAGCAAACAGCCTGAAATCAAGAAAAGACTAATCATTTCAACAGCTCCTAAGATAGGTAAGAGTAAGAATAGTGGCTGCAATGATCCCTGACATGACATACTTCAAAATCAGACAATTGCTCTACGATCAATTATTGACGCCACTTCCCTATTCTTTTCTTTTGTGTTTTCTTGAGTGGCTGAAGCCTAAAGTGGGTCTAGCAAGCATGCTTTACTTCAAAATCAGACAATTTCTCTATGATCAGCTATCAAATGTGTTTCCCTAGTTTTCTTTTCATTTTCTCCAGTGGCTGAAACCTAAAGTGGTCCACCAGCATAGTCATTAACACAACGATGGTTAGCCCATATATCCTTAGTTAGTTAGTTCACTGCCATCCAGCAACAATTGTTGTATACCTGTAAAAGAAGCATTTCCTACACTTTACCTACATTGGAGTCGGTGTTCTCCACATGCAAATGACACAAGATGTAGAACTTGTAACATCCACTTATCGCAAATCTTCGGATAGTTACCACAAGCATCACAAGGCAATTGTTTGCACCTACCCACCCTATGAAAACCGGAATTGGCATTGCTCCTATAAGAGTAATATAAATTATAGATGGAACACTAAGATAAATAGAAAAACCTAGCAGTTTTGAAGATGGTACATGATCTGCTTAAACAAATCAAGACTTTCATTCGCTAGAACATTGAAAAACTTTCATGTAACATACAGTAAAAAAAATTGTTTCATTGCAGAAAGCTCCTAGCCAAGACATGCTTATATCACGGAATAATTAATTAACAAACTCAAAGCATATCCTACATTTGGGAAGTAAATAATATTTCATTTACGAGAAAACTCAAGCACCCAACTTTTGTGAGGCTTGAACCCTTGACCTCTAGGGAGGTCGGACTCTATCAATAACCCAGGTACCGTTGGACCAATGACCCTTTGGTATCATATCCTATATTTATGTTTTTTAAGTTTTCTCAAAAGAGCGTTGGTACAGCAAGCTAGAGAAGGCTGAGTTACAACCCCCACACCATTAGATCAACTTTTAAGCATTCATATCAGAACAGGAGCAAAATTATATAGCAGAGCCATACTGAAGTTTATCAAAGCAGATTATCTTACTTGCTCGTTATGAGAGAATCGGCATCCAGCTCCACGGGTACATTCACCTCTCTGAAAAGCACGACAGACTCCCCGTGCCTCCCTTTTCTGCTGCTCTGCCTCTTCATCCTCTTCTTCTTTCTTCTTGTATTTAGTAACATGATCAACTCTTATAGTACGGCCAAGAATCTGGGCACCATTCAGATTATCTATGACAATCAATAGTTCAGTTGCTGAAGTATCACAAAAAAATTATCTAAATATGAATTCAGATATATAGAGAGACCAACCGACAGCAAGAATTGTACTTCTCTGATCCTCATATGCGACAAAAGCAAAACCCTTTGATTTTCCGGTGCCTTTGTCTCTAACAAGATTAACATCAACAATCTCACCGTACCTGGACGTTAGAAAGTAGGCTAAGTGCTTGGAGATAAATATCTATTATATTCATAGTGTCAATTAAAGCTAGCAATGACAATGCACTAATATATAAAATGTTATGTGACCATATAGAATAAGACCAAGCAGTTCATGGGATAATATTTTTAAAGGTGACTGTTAAATATAGCCTACTGAGATAAGTGAATGAATTGATGCCCTAGTACACAAAAAAAAAATCATCATTTTTTACTCAAAAACAATGAGAGTAAGTTTGGGACCTCCAATTCCATGTTTTCAACTGGTACTGAAGCAAATGCAGTTCATATTCTGAACGATATGAGTTCCAAATCCGATTTCCAACCTCAGATTCCATGCTCCCAAGTGTACCAAAGAACATATCCCTCCTCTCTAAGTAACCTTAGATCAGTGGTGGGATCTTGTGCTACTAAATAGAATGACATGCATAAACATTGAGGTAAACCCCAAAACTGACGCCCACTGTGAATATGTATAGAAGCAAACTACTAACGATGAAAGGAGCAATCACATAACATTTAATCAACCGTAAACTAGGGTTATCCACTTAGCCTTCATTGTCCCTGTGGCAAATTTCTTATGAAACATCCTGAATTACATCTGACAGCATGAGTGGAGCAACATGCACCTGAAGGCTGGTGATTTCACCACATTTCAACTTGAGAAATAGGCCTGCCGTTTCAACGTTACACTATTCCATGGTTTTAAAGATTTCACCGACATAAGTTATGTACAGGCATGTGTCTATAGGCATGTATAACTTGAAACAATCTTTTGCTGTCAAGACAATCGAGTACCAGATTCATGCTTAATCCATGATGTTGATAATGTACTAGATGACTACTTCATAGCTAAAAAGCGAGCGTGGATGTGGATGCTCCCACTAATATCGAAGGCAGTTGTTTGAATCTCATAGACAACACAAGTAAATACTCGTTTATTCCCTTCCCCTTGTTCGCACTTTAGATTGTAATATAGCAGGACATCCAATCAAATTTACTGATGTACACTAACATGAATCAAGCAAACAATATTCACATAATTCTTCCTACAATGAAAGCCAAATCATGACTTTTTCCATCATTCAAACTAAGATCATAAAACTTACTGAGCAAAAACGGCAAGAAGATCGCCTTCAGTGAGATCAAAAGGAATTCCCCCAACATACACATAAGCCGAATCTTTGTACTTGGCATGCCACGAAGCATCCTCGGAAATACCTAACGAGGCTTCTTTTGAATTGATATTCTGAATACGCTTCACTAACGTCAGTGGATTCATTCTTCTTCACGCTTATAAAACTAAAATTCGATCGAGTTTACACTTACAAAGTTCAAAGGCTTTTAAGAATTCAAAAAAAAACGAGCGATTTCATAAACCCTAAGAATAGTAAAGAGAGTGTTTGGATGTGCGGAAGAACTCTGATTCCATGACTTGACAAATCGAGCAAAATAGTTCAGACCCCAAACTACAATGAAAGGTGCAAACGCATAAGACGACGGTTGCAGAGAAATCGAACGTGGAGACTACGACGACAACAGCTCCGCAGGCGTTCGTGACGAAACAAAGGGGAAAATGTCTCCGAAGTTCAAATTAGGGTAATTAAGGGCAAAGGGGTGTTTTGAGATCGCCGGTAAAAACACCTTATTTATTTATTTCCCTATGAAATTGGTAATAAACATTTTTTATTGTCTATACATAAACAGTTTATACAGAAATTAAATCATTCTAATTTATAATAAGTTGATAAAAAATTTTGTAGAAAAATATAAGTTGTTCCAAATAAACAATCCCAAACATCCCTAATTCCGTTTCTCAACGACGAAATTAATCAAAATAGTCATTTTTTTTACTTTTTACGATGCGTTTTACCTCTTAGCCATTTTTCTTTCAAGATAACGAAAATAGCAGTAGGTCCGTTTTTCCCCAAGTGTAAAAAAAGAAGATTTTGGAACAGGTCCACATTTGTAGAGACCAAATATGTAGATTAGTTATAGGTCTGTGAAAATATATATATGTAATTACATATGTATTTTTCCAAATTTATATATTTGGTCCTTATAATTATGGAGCTGGTACATAAATTTTTTTTAGACTATTCATGAAGCTGTAAATTATGGTGGACCTATGACTATTTTTTTATTTAGGAAGAGAAAACCATGAGATGTAAATGACTAATTTAATTAATTTTCTTTCTTACTATTACTTCATACTAAAGAATATAGGGAATAGTTATTTCAGGCCTACTCTTAACAATGAATGAAAATTTGAGTTCCACTCAAATGAGTCAATTATATTATATTATAAGTGTATTCATATAATAAGATGTGATACATCTCAATTTTAATGTTTTTTTTATTTTTTTATTTGTCTATTTTATAATATAGTTTTATGGAAGCAATAATATTTTTATGTTTGAATAGATATAAATTTGAAGACCCCATGAAAGAATTTAAAAAAGTATATCTAATATCAAGTTAATGATTTAAAACTTCTTGTTTTTTATATAGTTTGTCTAATTTAATATTTTATTATAATTTAATTTTAGTTTAATAATAATATAATTTATTTTATGTCCAAATGTGACATGCACCGAGTTGGTGGCTGACTAGATTTTTGATTTGATCAAAGCAGATAAGCTCGCCTCAATAATATAATGTTTTTATAAAAATGATAATTAAGTATTATTTTAAATACTCAATGATTATCTTGATTATATTTCATATACGAATTCTTTTTTATGTGTCTTTTTATGTTGCCTAAATTTTTTACTGATATTGTTGTTGTTATTCAAGTTTTATTTTTTTGTTTCTCGACAACAATCAAAAGTGTGATTTATGTGGAGCTTCACAATAAAAAATAATTTATCAAATCCTACTGTTGTACAAGTTTTTACAGAATAAAAAACCAGCCATAATTAACCCCTCCCCCATGGTCACTCCAACTCTCCAAGTTATGTCCCTAACAGTGCCGTCCCTGGGGAGGGTGGCACGGGCGCACGCCCAGGGCCCAAAAAAACCAAGGGCCCTAATTTTCCTCTTAAAATATATAGTAGTCTAAATGAATTTAATAAATTAAAGAAACCAAAAAATTGTAGCATATAATAAGAGGCAAAAATAATTTAGTAGATAATAAGGACAAAAAAGTATATTAACTAATTACATTGAAGAAGAAAATAAAAATAATAATTGGTCATTCATTATATGCTATTGTTTATTGCCCCTATAATTTTTTTCATCTCCAACAAGGTCCAATGATATTGGCTATTGATATCTTTATATGCTTGACTATTTTCGTGCTTCAACAATTCAACGTTAAAATTATGTGCTTGTTATTGCTATATATTTTTGTTAGATATTTTTATCAATTTCTATTTTTATTTATTATTGCTATTTGGTTATGTTATTCTAATTGTTTTTGTTGACTATTGCTATCTATTTTTGCTTCTACACAAAATATTTTACTTTTTTTTTTGACAATTAATCTATTGTTCTTATGATTTATGACGTGTTTCATTGTTTTGTGATTAATCAATAAATTTTTTCTACTAAATGTATTTAGTAATGTCTCTTATATATGTCATGTTCCATAAATTTTTAATATTAACATCTTATTTTAGTTGAGCAAAAAAAGAAAAAAATTAGAATTTAAATATTTTCATCAATTATTTGACTTATGTATCTTTCATTGGGATTCCACCACACCACAAGATTCTATTTAAGTGCTCAAACAATCATTTRTTGAGCTTGCATATTATATGTTTAATTCATTATTTATTTTTACTAGATCTCAATGGATCATCTTTTCTTTCATATTCTTATTRATCTTCATTTGTCTACTTGTCTAGAAAACCTTGATAATCTTCTTTATTATTGATCTTTCATTGACCTCACGATTATTTCAATAACACGAAAACCCTTATTATATCAAAATAACACATATTTCTTGTTATAAAGTAATTTTTTTTTATTACATTTTATAAAAAATTATCAACCATAGTTTATATACTCTTGGTTTAAAATTACATAATATTAGGTATCAGGGAAAATCAATTATTGCTTCAAAAGGGACGTTTCTTTTGATGAATAAATGAAAATGTTACTTTGTCTTCTGGAAATCTTATTTTTAGTTGTAGTCTGAACCAAGAAGGATTTATATAAACCAAATATTCAATCATTCCGACATTCTTTTTGGATTACCATTCAAGTGTGTGGCTAAAGCGTTCAATAGTCCATAGTCAAATGCTAGAAAATGCATTTCTAACCAATAATTTTATTAAGAAATTTGATATTGTTGTTCCAATTATGCCTCTGATTGGATCCTTAGCTAAATCTAGATTATTAGTAAGGTGGTTTGGGCCAATCTATTAGATTTCGATATTATTGATCGCTTTAGACGTATATACATAAACCTTTCTCATCATCATAGTGGATCTTCAAAAAGAAAGAGTTTGTATCGAGTAAAGTATATACTTTGACTTTCTTGTGCTAGAACTTTAGCTCGTAAGCATAAAAGTATTGTATGTTCTTTTTTTTTTTTAAAGAGTCGGCTCAGAATTATTGAAAGAATTCTTTACAAAAGAGGAACAAGTTTTTTTTCTATTTCGCGAAGGTTATCTAGAAAGCGTATTGCTATTTGGGTATTATTTGTATCAATGATTTGGTTAATCATGAATGATTCGTCATGAGACATTGTAAATAAAAAAATTGATCACTAAATAATCTAATAAAAATGAAAAAAATATATTTATATTGTGAAATGTTGATATAGTACGTAATAAGTATAAATCAATAGACTATTCAACTTTTTCTTGTCTAATGAAGGAACTGAGTTTTAGATGTATACAGAGGGAAAGTCAAGTGCAATGTAAAATACAAGCACGACTCGAGATTTAGGAGGGATTTTTACTTATTTAACGAGGAAATTATATACTCCATGTCTCCATCCAACTAGTTTCGGGTTCGAATCCCGGGCCAACCATTGTCATATCTAAATTATATTATATTAATAGTGTATAGAAATCTTTTTTTATTTTTGAAAAGAATTTATTTACAAAAAATTCAAATGACCCAGATAAATATTGGTTGACACGGGCATATAAGTTATGTTATACTGTTGAATAACAAGTTTTTAGTTTTCCATTTGAAAATTTGTGCGCTTGGGAGTCCTTGATAATTAAACAAACCAAAATTTTACCATGACTGCAATTTTAGAAAAGCGAAAGCCTATGGGCCACTTCTTTAACTAGATAACCAACACTGAGAACCGTTTTTACATTGGATGGTTTGGTGTTTTGATGATCCCTATCTTATTGGAACCAACACCTCTAATTCATTCTCTCCTGCCCCCATCCCTTCTCTCTTATGGCCTTTGGTTCGTGGATTATGTAACCCGAAAATTACAAAATGGAATATCATGCAAATATACATGTTAAATCACCATCATTTGAAACCAAGTAATAAAGTGCTACAAGTACCGAATATCATTCCACACGGATATAAAAGTAAGGATTTCTAACAATTCAAACTTAAAGTAAGATTTCAGATGATGAATTATATTTTATAAGACCATATACAGTTTGGTTATCAAATAAGAAAAATTACGTGCCATGTCATAATTATTGACGTCATATCATTATTTTAGATTCTGTTTGGCTGTGGTTAATGAATGAGAATGAAAATGAAAATGAAAATGATAGGGAATGTAAATAAGAATGCATTTTCATTTCCCTCGGTTTAACCAGGATTGAAATTTTGGGAATCTGGGGAATAGTGTCGTTAGATTATAGAAAAACCAAATAGTTTCTTTTATTTTTAATTTTATTGATTACTACCTAGTACTTTTAACCAAACACCCCCTTAGTTTTATTATTTACATTTCAAATATGACATTGTATATTAGTTGGCATTAACCTGACTCATGTCAGCATTAGCAGGTTGTCAGGTAAGTTAAACCGTTAAATATATGTAAAAGTTTGGTTTGGTTTGGTTTAAACCCTTAAATGATGATTTCAAAACTTAAAAGTATGTTCTTCAATTTCAAAAAAGGAACAAGGTAAAGTTGGTTTCATTTTGCAACAATTTTCCTTATAAAGTAATACAAAAACCAATGATCGATTATTTGTTTTGTTGAGAATTCAGAAGACTTGTCCAAATATGGGTAATTTTCATTTCCATCAGATTATGAAAGGAATTTTGTTGAATTGTCAACTTTTATAGATAATCTTTATTTTTTCATTTGGATGATTCTTAAATTAATTTTATCAGACATCTCACCAATCAAATTATGAAATAGAAAAAATATGTTTTGAAAAAATTATTAAAAAATAAATGGGTTTTTCTAACCCCACCCCCTCCTATGGGTGTATGTGAGGGGGTGAGATTGTGTAAGTGGGTGAGTATGTGAGAGTGAGAGTGAGGGAAAGTTGTGAGGGTGAGAGTTAGGAAGAGGGGGTGAAAAGTGATGTAAGAAGTGGGGATATCAACCCCAAATAAAAGGGGTTGATATCCCCACCCTCTAGATCACTTTTCACCCCCTCCTTCTTACACCAACCCTCACTCTCACCCTCACAACTTTCCCTCACTCTCACCCTCACATATTCACCCCCTACACAATCTCACCCCCCCCCCTCACATGCACCCATAGGAGGGGGTGGGGTTAGAAAAACCCCAAATAAATTGTCAATCTGACTCACCTAGTAAACCAAGATTGTTACTTTGTTTTTTTTTAAATAAAATTTATTTGATTAAAAAAGTGATTTTAACAAATATATATATATATATATATATATATATATATATAACTCATATTTCTAGATTGTCTATAAATAGAATATGATATTGACATATTTTTATCATACCAATTTTCAATTGTATGGTAAGTTTTATATAATTATAATTACGTTTTAAAATATGTAATCTATTTTTCATACTTAAAATTTTAAAAATAATAATTATATATGATAAAAAAAAATTAAATTTATATTTTTTTACAAAATAATATTTTAGGTTGAATTGTATTGAAATTGAAGATTGTATGGGTAGATGAGAGAGAAAGTAATTTTTAATTGATATTAAATTGGATGGGATTGTGATTAAATATATAGACATAGACATACGGTAGAGTGGAGTTTGGTAAGCTAGCAATTGGAATAATGATCAATGCATGTGGGGAAATGATTGATTACTAACCATTTAAATGACTTTAGGGAGGAATTTTCGATGCCCTGAAAATCGATCCGAATACTAGTAAATCATTTTGGATCGACCAGTTTGATTGATGTTGATGATGAATTGATTTTAACTTTAGATGCATCAAGCTATAACTTTTCATTTTTATGTTTAGTTGTAGCGTTTTAACTTTGGATTTCAAACAAACTACTCAAAATTTATTGATATAAATATATTTAACTATTTGAGAAATAAATTGACAGCTACAGGGTTGTTTGCCTGCTTCTTGTCGGTTATCACCTCTTACCCGGTAAGAGGTTGGTGTTTACCGAAACAAAACAAAGCTTTGATTAGTTATCATGCTTTGTCTAAAGACTGAATTGGGAAATGTGCATGTTACAAAATTGGGAAATGTGCATGTTACAAAGATGAGTTTTCTCTTATTTGCCCTTTGCAATCACCAGCACTCAAAGAGGCTCTAATTTACAAGAATCCCTCCTCTTGATTTAGAGGAAAATGGGAGCAACTTCAAGAATCCTACCTGTTTGCATCTTCTTTTCTTCTCTCTCTTTAACAAAATCCACCTGTCTTGTAGGGTTTAGAGCCCTCTTCCCCCACTACTGCCACCACCATACTCCATATTACAGACGAATCCTCTTTGAACCCTCTTGTTGAACGCCTTAGAATCAAGCATCTCAAAGACTTGACCAGGATATCGATAAAGGATTATCTAAGAGAGGAGAAAAGTTTTTTTTTTTTTTTNGGGTTGGAATTGGGTTGAGAGAAGACGTCTTGGCTACTTTGAAGAAGATGGTATTAATTAATGCCAACTCGGATCGAATTGGTATCACATTGCCATTGATGATAGGTTTACAACTTAGGGATACGAGTTGTCCTTCATGAAAAGTGCAAGTTAAATGCTTAAAATTATTATTCGGTTTAAATTATCATAAATTGTAGTATGTTACATATATGTTGAGTGTTGATATAATTTCATAAGTAGATAAGAATTCAATAATATATGCAAAACATTGTTAGGGTATAACTTTTACTTGGTACATACAAAATATCTGGTAGAAAATAATTTTTAGACAACGTTACTTCATATAGAAGAATCCAATTGTTTTCTTTAATGAGCCAGCACTTGGTATAAAACATTTTGGTAAACAACAACTTTAATCAACATTTAACTCAGTTAAACCTCTTATCCTAATCAGATCTCTTATCCAAATCAACGCTTACCCATATAACTTGGTAAACAACCCTTATAGATGTTTTTTGGTACACAAAGAAATCCTGTTAAAATTATGGAAGCAAAAATAATAAGTATAATTTCATGATTTTGTCATAAACATGGTTGATAACTTTTTAATCAATAAAAGATAGATGAGAAGGTATTTGAAAAAACCTTCACTTTCCTCATTATGCGGTCCGATTTCCCCATAAATCCCACCAATAATCTCCAGGATGTTTGTTTTAACGAAATATTTTTGTTAGATTAGGATTTTGTGAAAAAAAAAATTGGAATTTTTGGTGTATTTGGTAAATGATAATTCATAAAAAACAAATTATAAAAAAAAATGAGTGTTCTTAATATATTTTAACTCAATTCCAGATTTTTCTTTAAACCAGACATGCAATTTAATGTAATCCAACTCCAAATATAACTAAGGAGCTATTTACCAACTTATGCTTTTTTTATAAAAGTGTTTATTAACTTATGTGGTATTAAACCAGAGTTTTGTATGAGAGGGTTAAAATTGTAAACTAGTAATAAGTAGTTTTTCATAAGTTAGGAATGATTAACTTATCAAAAACAGCTTATTACCAGTTTGGCACCAGTATAAACAGTTTTCTTTTTCTTATCCAAACACTTGAAAACAGCTTATCACTGGTGTCAAACTGAAATAAGTTAAAAAACAGCTTTTATAAGCAATCCCAAACACCTCTAAGTCCTCTATGGATAAATTTATCTGTCTTGATAAATGAGTGTTGTTTACTTTTTTTTATCTAAACCAACAGTCTAAATAACATAAATAATTGATTTATCCCCCAATATTATTTGAACATCAAAACAAAAAATCATAAAGAGACCGAAGATGGGGTGTCTCATATGGGAAGGAGGTGGTGCTTTAAATAAGGGGTATGAATGTCATATTTGTAGTTGAATGGGGACAACACACCAATTCTATCTGTGCGATTAAGTCATGTTCTGTGTGAATAAGTCGTAAGTAAATAACCCAAATGAGTTGTGCGAATAAGTCAGATAGACCAACAAACCTAATTAAGCAGCAAGTAAACAGCCCCTAAATCTTATAATATACTCGAGATGAGACTCTACACATATATCGTATAAATGTTTGTCTTTGGTCTCCTCAATTTCTCCAGTTTTGTTAGAAAAGAGTACTATCTCTTGCAAGAATGATAAATGTTAAACCCTAGTAAGGTATCTCTATTACTATCTCTTATGGCTCAATTGCGTTGGTTTAAAAAGTATGTCATTCATTATTCATTCTCATCTACACATAATCATTTACAAACTCAATAATTCGTACAAACTTCCAAACTAGATTATACATTCACATATGAAACAACAAATGTAAAAATGCAATGTTTATACAATGTTGTTTCATACATGATAGTTGTATAGAATTATAATGAACCATGCAAACAACCAATCAACCATTTCACTTTTCTTTCTCCCCCTTCCAAAAGGTGTATGCAAAAAGTTTTTAAAAAAATGTTAAAAACATTTGTTTTATAATAATCGATTAATAAAAATTTAATTCAATTATTTTTATAATTTGTTCTATAAACTACCTATAAATAATGAAATCCAATTTCATTCCAAATCCTACAAACCAAAAACACCAACAATTTCAAATCCATTCCAATCCAAATTCCTTAATGAAATCCAAATACCTAACAAAACAATCTTGCAAACCAAACAGACTCACAGTTTTCTTCATTGGATGTTTTCGGTCTTTCTACTTTCTAATGCATCCATCTATATCAAGAAAACCAACAACATAACATATAACTTCGAACTATAATCCTTTGTACCCTTGACGTGCAATATTCGTCACAAACGCATACCTATTGAAAAGACAAATATTACTTTCACATCAAATGACGAATTGACATCATAAATCAATTTCACTTTTGTGTTCTACCAACACTTGCTCATCTCTTGTTGAATAACTTATCGACTTATATGATCCACGTTGTCTGAAAGGACTGTTTTTGCAATGACTCCAGACCATGCTTGGATCCTTTAACACATTTGAAATGATTGTTTTTGCAATGACTCCAAATCATACGTCTTTAAAACTTTCCTAACATTCTCAACAAAGCTTATACCTTCAAACTATATAGATATTTTATCAAAAATAACTCTTGGCCAAAGTTTACTTCCCACCATCTCCCATCCCCTTGATCCCTATCATGCAAAAATCACCCAAACCAATCTTTAAAGACCACTTCATATCTTGCATCCTTGTTCCTAACCTGAAATTTTTCACACATTTGTCACACTTATAACAATATGTAATGCTTTTCAATGGAACCTTTTAAACTATATCAAGTAAATAAGAAATAAACAAGCGAAAGAATATTGCAAAAAATACAATGAAGGAATTACCCATCAACAGTGTTCCTCAAATCCCATCCAGCCCGATTACAATATTTTTCATTGTATTTCTTCATTTCCCAACTTATTCCTTGTCATGTTTGGCAAATGCTTCTCCCATTGCTCTCGCTATTTATGAATTCAAAGAGTTTCAATTCATCGAATATGGGGTTGCAGTTTGTGCCATCTAGCGTTTAACACTCCATAATCTTGACAAGCTCGTCCAAGCACCAAGATGGAGATGCATCGGTTTTGAAGAAAACAACGGTTTGAAATCTAAACACTTCAATGGATTCCAAGAGCTAATCACTAATTTTTTTTTACAGTCCTTAAGTCTCTTGTCATCCATATAAGTGTAGATTCCTTGTTGTCGAAGAACGACGTTAAAGATTATCAACGAAGTTCTTTCGGGTATATACACCTTTAAAGCTCAAAAACACATCATTTTGATAGCTATTCTGAATGGATGACACTGAATCAGATGAATCAAACGCCATTGAAAGTATGCTCAACATATCTTACCACATCTATTCTACAAAATATTTGCAAAGAAACAACAGATCAGATGTATAACCCCAAATATTGTGTATCAAGGTAAACCCCTTTTTAAACATCTAGATCTGTGATATAAAGAATTGCACTTAAGAGATTTGTACCTTAACGACCAGATCTGACTATTAATCAAATATGGTATTAGAAATCTGTGAATCTGATAAAGATTGTTAATTAACTTACAAATATTTATCTCAAGATCGAAGTGAAGAACAGTTGTAGTACTGCCGGACGTTGTGTGAAGTGGTTGTCGGATCGGCTGTACTAGAGAAATTCCGACAAGCTAGAGGTGGCGACGGCGGCGATGACAGATTGTGAGAATAAGTCACAACTCACATATATGGGAGCATGTTGAAACAGGGAAACCAGTGGGGGTTTTATGAGGTAACGATTGACAAGTAGGTCGGAGTTTAACGAGGATTTAACTTAACCATGGTTAATTTTGATTCAACTAGGATTAATTTATGATGGAGTCGAAGGATCTCGAAATTACACTTTCTATCGTCATAAAATTGAAACAGAAACTTCAAACCAGTAGAAGCTTTTTTCAATTCCTTTATGTTTTTTCATATACTTTTCACTATAAACTTTTTTATAATTAAACTAGTTGTGTACCCGCGCAATGCGGCGAGAGCTATGAATTTTAACGATTTTGAAGTTTCACTGATTTTATAAGATAAATTTAACGATTATATAGGTTAGACTTGGTCTTTACATATTAATACAATTTGAATAAATAAGAGTTATAGTTTCAATTACAGACTAACGATGAAAAAATTGTATGACAGTTTAAAATCTAATATATTTAAAATCCAACATATTTAAACGACTCCACAAATGTGTTCGATTTACACAAAGAGCAAAGAACCAAGAAACTTGAGTTTTAAGATAAACACTCAAAACCAATAAAGAAAACTATAAATTTGACAGATCATAAGCCATGAAAAGACAAAAAAATATGAGTTTTAGAATGAAATTTCAACTGTTTACCCTCTTTCTTGTCCAGAAACTCAGATTAAGGTTGAATTAATACATGTATATATATTTCAAAAAAACCCAAGAACATATTAATTCAAAACATATTATACAGTGCAATTTGGATAACCTAACCCCAAAATATATAGTATATATATAAATAAATAATTATAAAAATATAAATCGTAAATATTAAAAATATTTTTTCATAGTATATATAATATATAAATATAATTAAGTCAAAAACTATTCAATATTGGACTCATTTCGAAGGTATTAACGAGACGATTATAATTGTGTAACTTGTTAAAATAAAAATATATTTTTTAAACATGTTTTAATTGATATACGATTATGTATGTTAATTTGATAAAAGTTTAAAATGAAACATTTAAAAGTAAATGACATAAAGTAAATTAATTAATTAATTATAGGGGTATAAAGTGTAAATTTAAAATTATAATTTAAAAAAAATCGGTTATAAGAAGGTGAGTGTATGTGAGAGGTGAGTGTATATGAGGAGATAATGGGGTAAAAAAGTGAAAAAGTGAAAAAGTGAGTATAAAGGGTATTTTGGTCATTTAGAATTTTAAGACTTTAAAACTTTTGTTAAATTTGCTTAATAAAATAGTATAGATGAGTAAATTTGATTATTGGTCCCTGTGGTTTATATGTTTTGACACTTAAGTTTCTTATTTTAGAATATCTATAAATTACATCATTGTGATTCATAATTTATAACGCACTGGGTCCCTGTCATTAATTTCGTTCAAAAAATTATGTTAGCTCAGTTATTTTAGAGGGATATTTTAGTCATTTAATTTGTGTTTTATTTTCTCTTAAAACCACGGGGACCAAGAATGTAACTTACTCTGATTTTTATTAAAAATACAGGGACCATGAATGTAATTTACTTTATCATATATAATACATAAACCTAATTTGTGACCTCCTCCACGACGCCCCCTTCCCGTTACCTGCGACCTCCATAACAGTGTCTCACTCCCTTCACACTCCATCTCATTCATCGCATCTCCGTCACCAACCACCCATCTCCGTCCAGGGACCTCCATCACTGAAGCCACTACCACCTATATCCTCCCCTAGTCATCGTCGATCCTCCTCATGACACTGTCTTTCAGATCAAAGAACAAAGGTTCTTTTGATTTGAAAAACTAGGATTTTCAATAAAACCCAACCATGTATCAATAATTCCCCTTCTTCAAATCCAAATACCAAAAAAATAGGGCACCACCACTTGTTGTATACACATCTAAACCGCCACATCACTATCTTCCACTCCGATGAACAACCTTCCATCCACCTTGGTCTCTATGTTTTTTTTTTTCTGTCACAAGGAATTGAAATAGGTCCTTGTTTTTTGTCCCTAGTTATGCAACGTGTGTATATATGTGTATGGTTCACCAATTTGAAATGACATAAAATGGGGGTGAGGGAGACGACTGTGTATATGTATATGATAGAGTAAATTACATTCTTAGTCCTTGTGGCTTTAATAAAAATAAAGTAAATTACATTATTGGTCCTTGTGGTTTTAGTAGAAAATAAAAAAACAAATTAAATGACTAAAATATCCCTCTAAACTAATTGAGTTAACAACATTTTTTGGACAAAGTTAGTGACAGAGACACAATGCATTATAAATTTCAAACCACAATAATGTAATCCATAGATATTTCAAAATAGGGACTCATAGTATTAGAACACATAAACCACATAGACCAATCATGTAATTTAGTCTAATTTAATTTATTAAAATAGAATAAAATTAAAAATTACACAAGTCATACAAAACGAGAGAGGTACTTAGAAGTGTTTGTATAATAACTTAAAAGGTGGACTAAACGCACTCATACCTATTAATTTTCTTCTTATGTACATCAACATTAAGACTAACTTTACATTCTTAATTTATGTGTTAGTATCACACTGATCTACAAGAGTTTTAGAGGTAACACTTGTCTCTATCTTCAGCTACTTCTTCGACATCGTTGAAGGTCCATTTAGTTTGAGTTTTATCTTTGAGGAATTTTTGTTCTCTGATAAGTTTACAATATATGTTCAACGATCACTGAACAAACTCATAGATGATCGCTGAAACTGAACATAAAATAAAATAAGTATATTTCACCAAGTATGAAGGGTCATTTTGTATTTTGCAAAAAAAAAACCATGAAAATAGTCATTTTGCTTCAATAAATCTAAAAATAGTTGCTAGTTTGCATTTTTCTTAGAAAGTGGTCTCTAAGCCTAACACCGTTAGATGGAGTGTCGTTAGTTGAGGGCATTAATTTATTTTGTTTTTATTATTAAAAAAGGTTAGTGCACGAGTACGTGAAACTTGTGTACAAGTATAATTAACATAAAAAAACGACTTTTTCTCTATCTCACCCCCTTCCTCGTAACTTCTCTAGCCACCCTTCCCTTACCCCTATATATACTTCCGATAACAAACCAAATAATTTGTTTTAAGCCTCGATATGTTAAGATTTTGTATTTTTATAACGATAATTGGTAACTCATGCAAGTATATATGTATTAACGTTATTGCTTTAAATTAATAAAATGGTAAGAATCAAGTATTGAACAATTAAGTTTCTTAAGTTACAAGTATACAAATGTCAACACTATTTCTTATTATTTAACCCATATGCAAATTATTTATACTATATTATAAAGCATTTGACAAAAACTCATTAAAAACCATTTTTTATGCATAAAGTATTATATATTGATGCATATTACTTAAAATTCAAGATTACAAGTAAATTATGCATAAGTACAACTTATTAAAGCTTCATGTTTGAATTTGTGTAACTAACTGCGGATAAACATAATCAAATAGAGGATAAACATCTCATTTTAAAATAAAAAAGTATAGAATATAATTATGATAATTATCGAGTTCTAACAAAATAATTAATTATTATCTTTATAAGAAAATTATATTATTAAACCAAATATAAATTACTTCGTTATTGAACCTAAATTAAATTATAATAAAAAATTGAATTAAAAAATTACACAAAAAGTAGGAATTTTAAATAGTTAATTTGATACTAATTAAATAGTTTATATTTTATTCAAAAATAAAAACATCACCGTTTTTTCAAAATCATATAAGACCATATTATAATATCGACTGAGATAAAGAATAAAATATAATATTAAAATCAAAATATATTTCGTTATATTGCGTGAGTACCCTTCTAGTTATTCCAAATAGATAGGTCATATCCTAATTCAATACATGTTTTTTTTTTTGCTTAATTTCTTATTTATTCCACTGTTAAACAATATTTGGCTTTTTTACTTAAGTTTAAAGTAACTGTTAGAGACGACTAAATAAGATAAGTCATCATGTATTTGTTATTTATATTACATATATTATTTCATACACGTTTTAGAGGTGTTTGGTTGGTTTTTCATTACATTCTGTATTAATAAAGTTGTATGTGTGGATTGATCTGTCTGTATAAATTGGGAAAAACTCTGCTTATAAAAGTTTTTTCATAGATGGAATGATCATGTTTTTACTTGAGAATGACAAGTCTGGAAAAAACTTGGTTTTCTACATAAATCTTCATTCTAAAAGCTTATTGAATAAGTCATTTTTTATATGATTAAACTATTACCAAACATCCATGTATAACTGGCTGAATAAGTTGTGAAACCCTTTAAGCTTGTTATGTTATTGACAAACGACTCCTTGGTGATAGAAAAAAAGAGTTCATTACTCATTGTTTATTTTTCTATTTTTACCCAACCAAGGGTATACTTCATTAAACTGTAACGTATCTTTTTAGATACCTTAAAAACTTCATTTTCGTGTAAAATATTTCAAACAAAAAAGTTTATCTTTTTCGAACAATGCTTTTTTATCTATAAAGTTACCATATGTTCAAGTTTTTGTTCACAATGTTATAATATGTTTTTTTTAATTGTATCAAATATATAACACATTATTGTAATTGTATAACAGGCGTAATACATTTCCCGAAATAAAACTTCTAAATATATGTTTTTTAAAATAAAATACATTTCGGTTGATGTAATTTTACCCCGATTATGTGATGAAATATTTTTCCTCCGCAAATATCAAAATGTCATTCCATTATTTTAGTTTTGAGGACCATCTCAATTATCACTTGCTGTCAATCGCTTTTTCTGATCAGTGTTTTATTTGACGCTTATTATCATCCAAAAATCATCAGATTTAAGTGCGGAAACGTTTTTCCAGTAGAACGACTATCAACATGATGTCTTAAGAGGAGCACTTCCCAAGTTTGAAAGAGATGTTTTGTATAAATATCGTGGATTAAGGTATTTAATGTGTTGATATGGTGATAAAAGGAATAGAAAACAATAATTTTTATAATTTCTTAGCCACAAGAAGTCGATTATTATAAAAACAATCGTATTTAAAAATACTGATGTTGATGATGATAATTCGTCATATTATATCTTAAAAACACGATAATACATCAGATAACGCTTCCATGCAAAAGGAAAATGCAAATACAACAAATATATGTCTTGTTATTGGTTAGGCGAAAGTGAGGATAAAGCAAAAGAAGATGAAGTAACTTTGAGGCTAATTAAGCAACAACACTAATAATGAAGTAGTTGATGCAATGACATATTTAGTCCAAATCAGATCTACAAAATTGATTCATGATACGGGAGTGTGACGAAACAAATTATTTGGTCAAATTAGTGTAAGACAAAGTAGCTTTGTTGTTACCAGAAAATACATATCAACATGGGGAGATAGAAAAAAGAAGACGATGATGATTGACATTTCAACTCAACATTCATCGATATATCAAGAAAGAGGAGGGTCGTTTAAAATATGCAATTATTATATTTTTTTAATTAACTGAATGTCAATTTTACCCTTAGCAAGGAACATATAAGTTTTCTTTATTTTTATAATTAAGGGTATAATAAAATAACACACACTTATTTTAATATAAATAAAAATAAATATACAGACACTTATTTTGAATCAAATGAAGTACCTGCCAAAAATATTAAAAATAAATACACACCGTTGTCATATTATAACCTAATGTCAAAAAAAGAAGTAACTAAAGGTATATGCATCCCAATTAATGTTAAAATCAAATTAAATCAAATCATACATTGAAAATGTAAAAAATAGTTTTGGTGTTGATCAATGTAAGGGAAAAAAATAGTATATAGAAATGCATTTAACAATTTATAGGGTGTATTTAGCTTAGCCCATAAGAACATCTCCAACAAAATATCTAAAAACCGAGATTTTAGAGTTTTTTTTGTTTCAACATATTTTTCAAAACCTTTTTTTAAAATAAAGAACGTAAGAAAGAGATGGTGAAATACTTTAATTTGAATAACTCTTCAAAAATATTATTTATGAAAAAAAAATTACTTTTATATTTTTATTACCAATAAAAATCCTCAAAATCAAATATATATTGAAGGTAAGTAATGTTTTATAAAATATACTAAATACTTTAATAAAATTTGTTTCAAATGTAATTTATCATATTTGTACAACTAATGTAACCCAATAAAATGAAATATTTATGAAAATGATAAAAGTTCATTTATTATGATTTAAATACTTATGGAAAATTAATAAAGTTAGTTAATTATGATCAATACTTTATATTAGGAAGCAATCAAAATTTCTATGAAATTACATATTTATCAAATTAAATGAATAGTTGAGATTAAGTTGTATTAATTATATAAATATAAATGATTGTATAATAACCCATCTCTAATTTAATAATATAATTATTTATTAACATAAATTTTAATGGAAATTTTTTGGTTTTAGTTTTTAATTTTAGTGAATCCACTGGATATGGTAATTAAAGTGTATTGGTGTCAAAAGTCCGGATATGCCGTTGTGATTACCGCCGACAAGGCTGGAGTATTAAACAAGCAGCATCAGGTCTCAATCAGCACTCCCAAAATGTCGTCACCAACCACTGGAAGGCGGTTTGTGTTCAATTAAAGCTTTCTTAAACTTAATTTCAATGGCGTTCATGACGACGACAGTCACCATGTGCTGTCAATTAGGCGCCACGCCTTTTTCAAAAAGCTACATTCATCGTGGGACCAAAGTAGCTGGATCATAAACGTTTTATTTCTTCTTTTTTATCATTATCACTCCATTTCACTTCCCATTCTTTATCATTCTTCTACTATTCCTTTTAATCTTAATAAGAATTTGGATTTATTTGGGTGAGGGTCAAAGTAAAGTTGATTTGTTTATTTGGTGTCAACTGAAACCTACATTTCGGATCTTCATTTGGGGTTTTCCGACTTCGATTTTCAGCTCTCGAGATCCTTTTCAGGAGAAACCGTAAGCAAGGTTAGTTTTGTTTTTGTTCACATTTTATCCATCTTTCATCAGTTATTCTACTGTTTTAGATAATCATGGTATCATAGGTTGTGGTAACAAGCATTTCATGGTGTCTGATTAGGTCAAATGTTAGAATGGCAGGATGTTTGTACCGTTGTTCGGGATTTCTTGTACCTGTTAACCAGCTTTTCAAGTCTTTAATCATCTCTGTATTTCTTTCTCTGTCACACTTTTCACAAGTCGGGGTTGTTTTTTTACCAAAGGTCTGCCTACATCCGTACCATCCCGACCCCACCTCAGGTGGAATATACTGCTTCACCCTTTGGATAGAGGTTACATCGGCATACATCTTATCCTCCCAAACCCACCGGGATTTGCTACTTTACTTTTTGGGCCGGATGTCAGGTCTGCCTGCATCTTGTCCTCCCAAACCCCACCTCAAGTGGGTTCATCTTACACCCCTAGACCCTCCTTAGGTTGGATTTACTGGTTTCATTTGGTTTGGTTTTCCATTTATAAATATTGTATATGCTGCAGATGATGTTGAGAGTAACCAGTTAATGTTTTCCAGAGGATGAAATATGGGATCCAACAGAAATATTGATTCCGAACTTCAGGGTGCAGGATCAAAGCTGTATCCTCTTTATAATTTAGCTTGATACTACCTTTTGATACTTTTCAATAATTCTCTCTCCTTAGTAGTTTGAGTTCACTTTTGATCTCAAATTACAATCTAATGCTTTTCAATACACACGATTGAAATTTATGTTTTTAGCCTTTTTTAGCTCCAAACTCTTTTCACTTTGATGCACTTCTTGTAGAAAGTTATCAGTTTTCTTTTCATAACCAAAATTCGCATTAATTAAGCTTTGCGTTTGAAAGTTAAAAATTGGCTCCATTTTTGGAATGGAGGGAGCCTTTATGTTATCATAAGAACTTCTCTTTCCCATTTTAGGAGGCATTAACACTTAACTTTATATAGGTATGTGGTCTTCACAAATGAAAACAATTCCCATGGTGTTAACTAGATTCTAACCAACACCCCATCACGAGAGATTTGATAATTTGGTTTGATTTGCTAAAGGGTGACCATAGTGCAAAAAAGCTCCTATGCTTAGTGAGGGAAGCTTTTGTAACTTGTAACCCCCTAATCTTTAGTCATAATTTTTAGCAAAAATTCGGCATGACCCATTCGTAAAATCATGTTCTGCCATTTTGTAACCTATCCGTATTTGTATATGGCAATTTGCCAAAATATTATGCAACGGCCACAAATAATATTATGGCAAATTGTCATATACAAACACCGTCTGGTTACAAAAATGGCCGAACATGAATTTACGAATGGGTCCTACCGAATTTTTGCTAGAAATCATAACCTAAAGATTAGGGTGCTACAAGTTGCTCATTTCTCTTGCATTTTGCGAAGAGTTGTTTCCAAGATTCAAGCTAATGATCTTCTAGTCACAAAGGATTTTGAGCCTGCTAAGTGCTCCAAGGCTCACACCTTACAATTGATTTCCAGAAGAAAGATAATTGTCCAAGTGATCCTCATATTATTTATAATTTCCTTTCTATCAGTCATTTATGTTCCTCCTTATCATATCATCCTCATCATCATGATGTACATGTGACAGAAGATACATGTTTCTTATTTGTATATTTAAGTATTGGCATATCCTTAACTTCATAATATTTAGCGGCTTAGAAATCTGGTGCGTAGAAAGTCTTCGTTTGGTTTCAGTGCCACAAACTTCACACGGGAAATTCTTCTCAGGGAGCGCATATGTAGTTCTGCATGTAAGTAGCTGGTCTACGATGCATATGTTATTCAATCTCTATCAATAAACTTGACAAGGGTCCTTTTTTATTATTGAGGCAGACAACATTGCTTAAAAGTGGTGCACTTCAACATGACATACATTATTGGCTGGGAAACGAGGCCAATGAGGTTTTCCTTTGACTTTTATTCTTATAATTGGCTTCCAATTTGTTTACAACCGCACTTAAAGGAAGGAAAATCTACAAATTTTACATGAATTGTTATGACTTGATATCATTTTCTAACAACAAGCCTTCTATCCACAAAAAAGGTCATTGGCCCGGCGGTATCCGGGTTATTGGTAGATCCTTGCCTCCTTGGAGGTCAAGGGTTCAAACCTCACCAAAGGTGACGAGGTTGCATGAGTATTTGTTGTTTTTAATATTAGACATTGGTTCAGGGGAAAACCACAAAAAATGGAAAATTGAGAAACACCCCAATAACCATTCATTTGCATGGTATGCACATATGCAAAAAAGTAATTGAAAACTTTTCCGGTTTTCCATGCACGTGTGCATACCGGACAAATGAACGGTTATTAGAGTCCTCATCAGTTTTCATTTCTTTGTGGTTTTCCCCTGAAACCAACCCCTTTAATATTATATGCTTAAAAAATAAGCTTTCTATCCCAAAGTAGTTGGGATAGGCAAGTGGGATCTGTATAACTCACGGAACAAGGTTAAGTAGATACTAACACTATATTCTTGAAAGGAAATAAAACTAACATGGTAACTTTCTTGTTCTGTGCCCTTCATATAAAGATTGAATATCCTTCAAAATTAATCATGTTTAATAGATGTTGGTTCGAGTGACCATTTTACTTAAAAGGTATTTAAGGGTTATGTACTAATTTCACAGGTCGACTCAGCTTTGGCATCAGATAAAGCACTCGAACTAGATGTAGTCTTGGGGTCTCAATCTGTGCAATATAAAGAAGTTCAAGGTCAAGAAACCGGGAAATTTTTGTCATACTTCAGACCTTGCATCATCCCAGTTGAGGGCATATATTGTTCAGGGCAAGTACAGTTAAAAGCTCCGGGTTATGAAACTAGATTGTTAACATGCAAGGGAGATCGCGTGGTGCATGTGAAGGAAGTAAGCTTTCTTACTTCTTTTGGATAATAAACGTCACAACTGTAATCTTGAATTTTGAATCACAAATACCGTCTTTATTGTTTGCATGATGATTAGGTGCCATTTTCCCGATCGTCCTTGAACCACCGAGATGTATTCATCCTCGACACCGCATCAAAAATATTCCACTTCAGTGGGTGCAACTCCAGCATACAGGAAAGAGCTAAAGCTTTGGAGGTCGTTCAATATATCAAAGAATATAAGCACAAGGGTAACTGTGAAGTGGCAGCCATAGGTTTGTCATCTTTTTCTCCTTCATTTCTCTTAAGGAGCGTATGACGTTTTTTTCCCTTCTTTTAGTTCTTATTTGAAGACCCCTGAAGCCTAACTCGGAGGTAAGTCAACTGCCCATGGTAGTTCATTGGGCAACCCAAATATTTTGTGATTCGAACTTGAAACCTCTTAATTCGTGCAAATTATACAAATCAATCTCAACCATCCGTCTAGTATAATGAATATCTGGTTCCATAAATATCTCGATTGTTTCCTAATCTAGAGCGTTGATCATGATGATCGAACTCTTATCTATTATGGTCAAAATTAAGTTTGCAGAATAATAGGTCTTTGACCGAGTATTTAGGAGTTAGTTTTCGTTTTTTTTGAATATTTCCTTTTGATCGTTTGTTGTAGCCCTTGCTTTTATGCTTTTTTGTTATTTCTTTGTAGGCATTATATAGCCATGCTTATTGATTGAATAAAGCAACGAACACTTTGTTTTAATACCTCTTTGAGTTCTCTGATATAACAAGTGGTATCAGAGCCACTACAAGAGAGTTGTGTGTGCCTACGCAAGTGAGCGTTCAGTGAGTGAAACACGAGTGTATGCGAGATGACAGAAGACTTAAGCAGCTTTCAAACCTCCTGTGTGCCTAAGTTTGATGGTGACTATGATCATTGGAAGCTGTTGATGGAGAATCTGTTACGATCCAAAGAATATTGGACCGTAATTGAAGAGGGTTACAGGGAACCACGAGAAGGGGAACGGTTAACTACTGCTCAACGTAAGTCTTTGGATGATGCGAAACTCAAAGACCTGAAAGCAAGAAATTACTTGTTTCAGGCCATTGATAAGTCCATCCTGAAGACGATTGCTCAGAAAGCTACAACAAAACAGTTATGGGATTCGATGAAAGTCAAGTACCAAGGTAATGCACGGGTGAAACGGGCTCAACTACAACGCCTTCGAAGGGAGTTCGAGACCTTTGGAAATGAAGACATGGGAAGCGGTGACTGATTACTTTGGATGGGTAATGATTGTATCCAATGATATGCGGAACTGTGGTGAAGAAATGGATGACGTTAAGATCGTAGAGAAGATCTTCAGAACTCTCACAAATAACTTTAATTTTGTTGTCTATTCTATTAAAGAATCAAAGGACATCGACCAGCTAACGGTTGATGAACTGCAGAGTTCTTTACTGGTACATGAACACAAGTTGAAAAGATGAGGCGGTGAAGAACAAGTCCTCAAAGTGGAGTCTGAAGTAGTCCTGCCGGTGCCAAGTTTGAGTACTTGTTTCGCTGGCAGACATTTCATTCTGAAATCATTTTAATAATGTCCCGCCGCATACTAACCCAATACACTTCCGTCGCCATTCGTTGGTACGTCTTTTGTGTACCTTCATGCCCCCCTGTCGCCCACAATGCTTCTCCTGGAACAACCATGGTATCCATCCCGAAGTACGAGAAATAACCAATCATCCCTTGTATCGCACCTGCCCATCCTCCAAAGTATATCCTTCGAGCCCGTCCTCCCCGTTCGTAATGCGTAAGCGGAGGTGAACTATTTCCGGATCAGAACGGTTAGCATCCAGTAAATCTTCATCAGTACTAACCCGAGACATGGTCAAGCTACTCACCTCGATTCCCGTTCCCCGACGCGACAGTGCATCGGCAGCCCCGTTCTCGCTACTCGGTCGATATGTAATCTCCGCATGTCGCTTCTCCGTTTCAGTGCACAACGATTCCACGGTGGCCTCCAAGTTTTCAAACCGCTCCGTTGTCTCAGCTCGGAACTGATCGACGGCAGCCTTCTGTTGGGTCAACTTAGCTTCAAGATCCTGAATCTTGGTCATGGTAGCGTGGATAAAATCACAGGCGCAAGATCGATGCTCTGATACCAAGTTGATACGAATCAATTGGCAAAATCAAGATTAGCGGCCAAAAAGTACCAGTAATCAGATGCTTATTAAAATAAACCCTGAAATTCGAGACCCAGGTAATCTCCAATGTCAGTAATAAGAATCAAAATACTAGAATGAATGCCAAACAATGGGGTGGCCGGTCCCCTAAATAAGCCGTACCCTAATCCTCCAAAATAGGAAAACATACTTATCCCAAGAAACTAATTAATAACTTCCCTAATCAACTAATTAAGAATAAGGAAATTGCGAACATCCCCCTCTACTTGTTTCCTGCCTCTCTTTTGCGACGCTGATATATCCGACCCCAGTGTGGGTCGGGCTGAGACGTATCAACATCGATACAAGATACCATTATCTGCGTGATCTTACAAGTCAAGAAGTGGTGAAGTTAGTCTTTTGTGGAACTAAAGAACAAGTTGCAGATATCATGACTAAACCAGTAAAGTTGGAGACTTTTGTCAAACCAAGAGGGTTACTGGGAGTTCAAGCATGTGAAGAGCAAACCAAATGCTTATTTAGCATTTTAGTTTAAGGGGAAGAATTATTATGAAATTGAGTTTGCAGAATAAAAGGTCTTTGACCGAGTATTTAGGAATTAGTTTTCGTTCTTTTTTGAATATTTCCTTTTGATCGTTTGTTGTAGTCCCTGCTTTTTATGCTTTTCTGTTATTTCTTTGTAGGCTTTGTATAGCCATGCTTATTGATTGAATAAAGCAATGAACACTTTGTGTTAATACCTCTTTGAGTTCTCTGATATAACATTATCATCTTCCATAAATATCCATATTATAATAAATCAATTTTTATCACTTGATCAAGCTTGGGTTGGCTTTTTAAAATAAATTTTCTGGGTAAAGGAGTAAATGTTACTTTTTGTTGCCATTTTTTATTATTGTAGAGGATGGAAAATTTGTTGGTGATGCTGAAGTGGGAGAATTCTGGAACTTTTTTGGTGGGTATGCTCCCATTCCCAAGGACCCACCCTCTGCTCAAGAACAGCTTCAAAGTTCAGCTGTTAAACTATTTTGGTGAGTTACTCTCAAGCGGTGCACAGTTTTTTTACTTGTGTCTAAAAAAAGGAGTAAATCTTTTTAAAGAACTCTTCTTTTTTGATGAAAATAAAGATTTTCTTTTTTCATTTCAAGATGTTGCCAATTCAACAATATACAATATCTTCACCTCCCCGTTGAGTCATTGACCATTGATTGGCTGCAGTGGAAGAGTCTTTAACTGTCTGAGCTCATGTTTATTGTGCTTCATTTTCTCTTCTCCAACAGGATATCGCTCCAAGGAAAGTTTACTCAAAATGGAAGTGGCAGGTTGAAAAGGTCGATGCTTGAATCAATCAAGTGCTACATGTTAGATGGTGACTTTCAGATTTTCGTCTGGATGGGAAGAACTACCTCTATAACAGAACGGAAAACATCAATCTCAGCAGCAGAGGTAGTGTGTGTGTGTGCTTTTCTGTACGTGCTTGGATGCTCACACATAGATACGTCTATAATCTTGATCTGTTCATGCATTTACAGGATTTCCTTAGAGCACAGGGAAGACCCATAAATACCCATTTAGCCTTCCTAACAGAAGGATCAGAAACGTCCATATTTAAGTCATATTTTGATGATTGGCCTCAAACTGTTGAGCCCAAGCTTTATGAAGAGGGTCGAGGGAAAGTAGCAGGTTATTTTTCTCTTTTCAACAATTTTCTGAAATTAAATAGTCACAAAAAATAGATTCACAAGGTTGTTAATATTGCAATTATTTATGATCAAGATATCTTTGATACTTTGTAATATTTTACCTTGCTCTGTGTGTGTTCTCTCTTTGTTACCTTCTCCTAATTAAACCAAATTAACCATATGTTTGCTCACACTCTTGCACAAGCCACCCCCCGTGTGCCGGGGGGGTCTTCACGGAAACAGCCGCTTTATTTACGGGGTCAGTTTGGTTTATTTCTTCAATACTTCAGCAACTTATACATATTTTTTGTGATCTTTTCCAACTTTAGCCATGTTCAAGCAAACGGGTTATGATGTGGAGGAGCTTCCCGATGAAGATGACAAGCCACATATTGATTGCAATGGTACACTAAAGGTTACTCTCGACCCATGCTTCAGTAAGTTCTTGTATATCTTGCACCATTGACTCTTATATGTGGATACACTTGTTACACTGTAGGTTTGGAGAGTGAATGTTGGTAAATTGTCCCCCATTCCTGTTGTGGAACAGAGAAAGCTTTATAGTGGGGATTGCTATACCGTGCAATATACATATTCTGCCAATGGAAGAGAAGAACGTCTTTTTTATATTTGGTTAGGAAGTAAGAGTTCTACGGTAAGCAGTTCTTATAATCGTCATTAATAGGAAACTTTAATATCACATTTTACTCCCCATTTTCTTAATTTGAGTGCAAAAGAACTCTTGGAGAACATCACAAATGAAGTTCTCACCATATTAAGCTACAAAGTTAAAATTTTCATCATAGATGAAGGAAGTTGAGAAAATTATAGACATCAATTTACTATACTTTTAGGGCCCGTTTGATTTCGGGATTTGGAATTAAATTCCATTCCAATCATGTGTTTTGTTTGAAGGAAAGTATGGATTTTTGAAATTCCACAACCGAGGGATTTAGAAATCCCTTGGAGATGGAGGTCATTTCAAATCCAAATCCCATGGATTTCAAAGAATCCAAATCCTTCCACGAAATACGAATCCCTCAAAGACATTCGTCAAACCAAATGGGCCCTAAAGACATCATGTTACTAATGTTTTAAGTTTGTGTTTAAATATGCCCTCTATTTACTCTCACTATGTAGGAAGATAGGGGTGATGCAATTTCTCTTACAAGTGTTCTTGTTGACTCAACTAAAGGAGATCCAGTTTTGGTTAGTTATCTTCTTGATTCTCTATTAATCGAATATTATATCTTATCAAATTTTCCTCTCACGTCAAAATTACCTCGATATGCTAATCAGATGCACAGCCGAAACCCGATCCCCTTGATAATGGGAAGAGGCGCTTAACCAGTTTGTGGTCTAGTTAATAAAGAAACCAACTACAAAATCACTTAAAATTGACTTATTTTTGCTATTTGTACTTGGGCCACTAACGAAAATTGCTACATTGATGAGAGTCGAGGTTAGGTTTGCCTACATACTACTCTCCCTAGACACGACATCCGAGTGGGATAAATTGGGCTTGTTTGGTTTGGTTTTATTTGGTATTGATCACTTATTAAATTTGAATTGCTAGTTTTAACAACTGACACCACCGGGGTAGATTCAGTTGCAAACTTAAGTTCCGTTATGAACCGTGGGACAAAGGAATGCATGCCACATGTCTCAGACATTCACGGGATATTCATCATGAATGGTGTATCATTCATCATGAATGCTGTAAAAAGTTCACGTTCTTTATTCATGATGAATGGGGTTCATTATTTATGATGAATGTGAACAAATGGGGACACGTGTCGCTCTTTCCTCTGTCCCCCAGTTCACAACAAAAAAACAGGTTTGCAACTGAACATTCCTGTAACACCACCCATTATCAAATACTAAACTCTATTGAAATACATCTGCTTCACATAGAATTGTTATCTTTGGTTCCAACTATTATCACTAATATATCAGGCTTACATTCTTAAGGATAAGGAAAGAAACTCTTGTTAACATAACTTAAGTAAATGTTTGTTGACATATTAAATCCATGTCTTGATTTCAGGCTCGAATTGTTGAGAACAAGGAACCACCTCAATTCTTCTCAATATTTCAGACACTAATTATGTTTAAGGTGTGCATCTTTTTTCCTACCGTGGCTGTTAACTGCTGTTTCTCAAGGTGCTCTTCCGTTATTGCAGATAGTAAATGTTTCTAAGCTGATATTTTCTTATTCTTCAGGGTGGTATGGGTTCACGATACAAATCATTTGTTGCTGAAAAAGGCCTTTATGATGAAACTTACGATGATAAAAAGACTGCCCTTTTCCGAATTCAAGGAACAAATCGTGACAATATGCAGGCTGTCCAAGTTGATCAAGTAAGTCTATTTATTGTCCCCTCCAACCCCAAAAGAATATTTGTTATTGAACATCTAAAAAGATTATGTTTAGAAAGATTTTAAAATAAATAAATAAAATGAAGCCAATAATGTGTGAAATCTATTGAAGAATATGTTTTTAACAACACTAGTTTGGTGGTTAGTTAATTCGATGATAACATGATTACTGACTACATTTATTAAGTAAACGTAGAATCATAACTGAATGAAGACGGTACTTGTGGTTAGTTAATTACACTAGATATGGGTTTTGTCACAATACCATCGAGTATTAATGTTTAACGTGCGCGTTCTAATTACCTGAAAAAGACTCAAAACCTCAAATCAGTTGTCAAAGTGAAAATATGTTCCTTTGAGTTTGACCTGAGATGACAGACTCTATGTATTTGTTTACTATGATCAGGAGATTATATCATAACGGTGCCCATGCTTCAAGTTGCCATGAAAATTATGTGTTTTTCTGCTTAAATAATCTTTCTTCAATTCGGATATTCCTTTGAAAATTATCCAATAACATTTTATCTGCTCTACCAACATGTAAATCATCATATACTATTTACAAGTTCGACATCTGAATTCTAAGGTTTATGGTTAACATCATTGCAGGTTTCTCGATCTTTAAACTCCTCATGCTGCTACATTTTGAAGGCTCAGGGATCTATCTTCACTTGGCTTGGAAATCTCTCCACTACCGGAGATCATGATCTTCTGTATGGAATGTTAGATTTGATAAATGTTGGTGCACATCTTGGCTTCTAGCTTTTTTTTTCAATAAATCACTCTCCCCTTTCCAACCAAGATTTGCACGTTGACTTTTATAGTTCGGACCGATTTTCAAAGTCCATTCTCAAAGTTTAACTTGTAGAGTCATACGTTTGACCACAAATGTCAAAGTCAACCTCTATGGGGATTGGAGGGGGTTCATCTGTCAAGATTCTTTTTACCCAATATTAAGCCATATTTCTTTTTATGGTATTTGTAGCCAACATGGCAACCTATATTAGTTAGGGAAGGTAACGAACCAGATGTTTTCTGGGATGCACTCGGTGGAAAGACTGAATATCCGAAGGAGAAAGAGATAAAAGGGTTCATTGAAGACCCACATTTGTTTGTTTGTACAGTCGCGGAAGGTAAGGAAATTCGTATTTATCGTATTGGTTTTTTTTGTTATATCATAATGCAATTGTGCCTCAGTTCAGAAGTATCCAAGCTGTAAATTGGTGTAAAATTTTGTCTAATGGTGGTTCCTGGCTCTTTTTGATACCAGACGTGGATTCTCAATCAAGTAATCTAAAGGTACGATTTTTTTATCTACATTTCTGTACACTAAATGGATTCGTTCTTAGATACATTTCTATTTGAACTATTTGGGCGGAAAATGTCAAGTCAATACAAATATAACGAGTAAGGGGCTGTTGACCAACGCTAACCGGGTAAGAGTCACCACCCTCACTTTACCGGGTAAGATTCTCGGCCATCAAATGGCATAGTAAGATTGTTGGTAGCGTCTATTACCCGACAAGTGCTAACCGGGTAAGAGTCACCACCCTCACGCGGTAAGATTTTTGGTCCTTGCCATACCTTTTAACGGGTAAGATTCTCGGTCTTTGCCATGCTCACCTGGTAAGGTAACTAACCCGCTAAGCGCTTACCTGGTTAGCGTTTGGTAAACAACTCCTAATACTCCCTGTGTCCCAAATCAAATGTCCATTTTTTTCTTTTTTTTTTGATTAACCTGGATATCCAACCCGCTATGGGAGCCGACTAATCCCATGGCGACCATCAGCTTTGCAGATAGCCTGGAGTCACCGCATTTGAACCTTCGTGGCCACAAAGGGATTTTTATTCCTCTTTGGATTTGAACCTGGGACCTCCTAGTGCTTTTGACCTTTGAAGCCAAGCTCAAACCAATCAGGCACCACCCTTGTCCACTTTTGACATATAAGAGGCAAACGGATTAGGCACTGCTCATTTTAGCCATTTTAAGATTTTCATTTTATGGGTTCTAGTTATATGATATCAGAAGAAATGAAGATGTGATTTTGGGTCTCATTTACTAATTTAAAGGGTTGGAAGTTTAGGCCGGGGACGCATTTTTGCCTTACCCGCTCTATGTGGGTATCGCTTACCTTACATTTTGTATGTGTCCATTGTACTTGTTAGTTACTTGTTTCTTACTTATTTCTCTCGTGCTCTATTCACCATGTCCTAATCTTTATTCATGCTACATGTTTGCTCACACTCTTGCACAAGCCGGGGTTTTTCATGGAAAACAACTGCTCTAGTCTGAGGTAGAGGTCAAGTTTGCCTACATCTCACCCTTCCCAGACCCTACTTCCAAGTGGGATTTACAGGGCCGTTAGGTTTGGTACTTCGGTTTATTTACTACTTAAAGATTCCGTCCAACGATCTCTTGAATTGTCATGGGCTTTTCAGGTGAAAGAGATATTCAACTTCACCCAGGATGATTTAACGACTGAAGATGTGTTAGTACTCGACTGCTGCTCTGAAATTTTTGTGTGGATAGGCCACAATTCAGTTGTTAAATTGAAGCAACAAGCGCTTTCTATTGGCTTGGTATGATTTCTTTAACGTTTCATATATTTTTGAATATCGGAGTCTTGAATATGTCAACACTCCCTCCATTCCTAAAAATTGCAGCATTTTACTAGACACTTCGTTAAATGGAACAATTTGATTATTAGTTATACATCTAAACACTACAACAAAGTGGGGTTTAGAGGACGCTAAAAATGTGCAAGCGTCTTAATAAACTACTTTATAGGACCAAACATTTGTAAAATTGTTGCAATAAGTTGATGGGACGATTTTGGGCGTCTTAACAAGGTTTTTATGGGACCATTAAAATAATTTGTCTTATTAGCTTTTTTACAGGACACTTTAGAGAAGTGTTCTATGAATACATTTTCTAATGGACATTTTTTTTGTAGGATACATTTTCAAATAAAATCATATTAAAATTTAATAGGATGCTTTATTTCGAATTGTCCTAAAAACTTTTTAAGACGCCCAGAACTGTCTTATAAACTTATTGCAACTCTTTTACATAGCACACACAATTGTTTGGTCCTATAAACTCAAGTCCTATAAAGTTGTTTATTAGGACACTTAGACATTTTTGGCATCCTATATACTTGATTTTTAAATGGGGCAAACACCCTTGAATGCATTGAAATTCGAAAATTTTCCGAAAAAGAAAATATATGAATTTTCATACTCTCCTCAAAATAAGTGTCCACATTTATATTTTAGTTCGTCCCAAAAATAAGCGTCCACTTTCATAAGTACATACATGCTTTCCAATTCCACCCTTAAATTATAAATAAGGGTAAAATTGTCATTTAGTTCATTAAAAAGTGTAATAATTACACCTTTCTAAAACCGTGTGCCTTTTTCATTGTCGACATTTATTTTGGGACAGAAGGAGTAGTAGTTATCTTCTTTGTCGATGTGATTGATGTAACACAATGAGGAAACCTCTTGTTTTTAGATCATTTTCTTTGTTAAACTCGAAAGTTTCCCCATATGACAGGCGTTTCTCAAGAAAGACGTTTTGGGAGAAGGCTTATCCATGGACACTCCTACATACGTTGTTACAGAAGGGCACGAACCACCCTTTTTCACTCGTTTTTTTGAATGGGACACTTCAAAGGCAAATGTAAGTAAATTTTTTGCCATGGGCCTCAATTCAAGATTTCTTTTTAAATTCATAATTTCCATGGGATCAAGAAAATTTAAGCGCTTCATGCACATAAATCTTTTCAAAGCTTGATACGTTTTTGGACTTTGATCATAAGTTCATTGATTAGTTGAATCACCAAACTTTAGCATCTGGGAAACGATGATGTATTGCTAGATGCTGCTCTTCGTTTATGATTATAAACATGATCTGTTATGTTTTGGTTAGATGCTTGGCAACTCATTTGAGCGAAAGCTTGCTATTTTGAAAGGGCAAACACAGAAACTCGAAGTAAGCAACTCTTCAACATTACTAAACACTTTCAAACTTCATTATTCTACTCGTGCTAAAAGTACCTTTTTAGGCACCTTTAAGAACTTCACCAAATGTTTACTCCAAAGAGACAACTCCGAATGGCTTTAGGAGACCATCTCCGACTCCTAATGGCTCGAGAAGACCATCTCCGACTCCTAATGGCTCGAGAAGACCATCTCCATCTCCTAACGGCTTGACCCGAAGACAATCTCTTGATTCTTACACACTGAGAAGCACGTCTCCAACTTTTTCAAGATCAGATTTTAGTGCCACAAACAATCGTCGATTTTCCAGTTCTTCAATTCCCAGAATGATTCCATCATCATCTTCCCCTGATGTTCGTGGTGCAGGTATGTTTCCAAATTTGATAACGGACAGTTATATGATTCGGTCCTCCTTTTGTTCCCAAAAGAAAAGAAGTACCGTTTGAACTTTTGAAGTGTAACTTGTAAGTGAACTAAACTCCATAATCAATATCAATTTTTTTTTATATATTTAAATGGGAAAAATGCAACAAAAATATAACAAAGTTTGGTTTAATTCCTATTTAGTGTAACAAAGATTTTCTTTATCAATCAATGTAACAAAGTTTCAAAATTCTTATTTAAATTAACATTAGTTGACGTGAATCTCAAGTTTCTAGTCCACTTTGCCCTTAACTCTTACGTAAACATTTTACAAATCTTCCATAAAAGGGGTAGCCGGTCATCAAATGTCACAAAATCAGCAGGTTACCGGTCAAAATGGGTACAAAATAGGAAATTTCTTGAAACTTTGTTACGTTGATTGAGAAAAAAAAATCGTTACACTAAACAGGAATCAAACCGAAGTTGTTGCATTTTTCCCCTATTTAAATTAAGTTTGACAATTGAATTATGATCCGCTTTTGCTACAAATAAACTATCGTTCTTGTGAAAATGCAAAAAAACTATACGTCACACGAACGAACCATTTTAGACAAAACTTGCCGAGTATGATGTTTTTTTTGCTTTTACATTTCCATAGTCCGTCAAAAATCGCCTACAGATTTTTTCTTTCTTCTTTTGCATTTTCATGGTCATACACACATATGCATGTATTTATGTGGTATATACTGGGTTTATTTGGTCTAGCTTTATACACAGATACACGTGTTATGCCATGTGTATGCCTAGTCAGCAAATTTGTCTAATCTTGGACGTTCAATCAAATCAATGATTGGATTAAGATCAAGAAACCATGGTTACCAAGATACAATCTTTGCTAAATCTCTAACAAAATCAAAGTGGATTTGGAATTGGGAAAGTAAGAGATTTGACTCAGAAGTCAAACTGTGTCTTAGATGGAGTGATTCTTTTGGTTGCAATATAACTCAAGACCTTTTCTTCTTCACAGCTAACACACTGGTTTCCGCAAGCCCTTCATTGGAAGCGAAAAATTTTCCTTCCAAAGATTCAGGTCCTAAGCAAGATGGCGAAAACCAGATTAACGTCAACTTGGTCAACTATCCATACGAAAGGGTAAAAGTCAACTCAAACGATCCAGTTCCCGACATAGACATCACAAAAAGAGAGGTACTTAATCTCCATTTTCATTTAAATCGAAGTTGTATTATTTTAATATTGAGGATCAGTTCAACCGACAAATAAAAAAAAAGGTTTGACCTGGGGTTACTCCGTGTAGTTCATCAGTTTGAGTCTTCTTAGGGGCACTAGGGATTTTCTAGGTTGTTATCTCCAAGCCTGTGGGATAAGTTGATGTGCGTATAAGCAGACCCACAAACCCACGGCTACCAAGACAGAAAGCTTTGTTCTTTCGTTTGAACACCAGATTTCTTGAACTCTCAGGGGGTGTTTGGTTTTACGGAATGTTTTTGAGGGATTTGGATTTCGTGGAAGGATTTGGAATCTTTGGCGTGTAGGATTTTGAATGGAATTGAATTACCTTCTTTATAGATAATTTATGAAAACAAATTATAAATAATTATAAAAACAATAATTTTACCTTTTATTTATTGATTATTGCAACTGATGTTTTAAACATATTTTAAAACATTATTACATTCGGATCGTATGAAATCTTGTGAAATACCAACTACCCCGTGGGATTTCTAAATCCAATGTTGTGGGATTTCAATTTTAGACATTTCTTTCAACCTAACACGAGATTGGAATGAAATCTAATTTCAAATCTTGCAAACTAAACGGGACTTCGATGTCTTTTGGATGTTGTTGTGTAGGCCTATTTATCTGAAGAGGAGTTCGAGGAGAAGTTTGACATGTCAAAAAGGTCTTTTTACCAGCTTCCGAGGTGGAAACAGAACAAAGTTAAGATGTCTCTTTTTCTCTTCTAGAGATTCATCTTAGTCTATGTATGATTTTATCCGTAGTTAAGCATGATTGGACGATAGTAGTAGTAGTAGTAGTATTAAAATGGATGACTATGTTAAAAGTCATTTATTGTTTGTATGTTTGATACTTACAACTGTACTTGAAAAGCCAAAAGCGAACAAAACGATCCGAGTCGAGCTGAGTTGTACAAACAATTGTAGTATTATACAATATTGATGTGTTTTTATGCCCATATGTTGGTTATACGAAGATTCAGAAGTTAATTATAGAGACTGATTCAAGATGGTCAACCTTTAAGAAAAGGCGAAGCTCGAGAGAAGAAGTTTAAAACAATTTTTTTTGCTAAAAAGGAAATACAATATTTATAATAAAAGAATCAACTACTAGTAGACATAGTGGGTGCGTTAGGGCTACTATCTCATCCTAAGTCTAAGAATAAGGAACCACGATGAAATTACCTAAGCAAGAAAATTTACTAAAAAACATTACATTCTTCTGTATAAAGCGGTAGATGAGATTCAGGTTCATGTAATTAACATTAACCTTACCTTCTCGAATTTGGCGAGAAAAGAAAGTAAAGGAAAATACTCTTACTCTTTTTGTTTGTATTCTCGAGAGCTTTTTTCTTCTCTTTCTTTTTATATTTGGAGGAAACTTATCATTATTTTTCTTCATAAGAAAAGTTGCAACATTCACCAAGTTTTTCTTTTCTTTTCAAGGGTTGTTTGACTGTTGTTGAATGATTTGATGCAAAACGATTAAGTGGTCAAAATGATTAAGAGGCATCATCATATAGTGCAACATGAAGTATAATTGTTCAGTAATTGTTTACAATAAAATTAGAGCGCCGAATGGTTAAGGGAGATCCATGATACAAAATCAATTTATAGAGTTTTAGAACCATTAAGAGGCATATTTTTTTTGCCAAACAAGATACATCTTTTAATGATTCAAAAATTGTCTCTTAATAAAACTATTAAGACACAAACAAACCACCATTTACATTCGTAAACTTACTTGCAACGTAAATGGTAAACATAGTAGGTTATTAAAAGAAAGACGTTATGGTTTTTACTTTTTATTGCCAAATTCGTCCTTTATCCTATAAGAACTAAAAATATGTTATCTAACTTAATTTAGAGTAATTTCAACGATTTTTTTTATTAACCTGGATATCCAACCTGCTATGCGAGCCAACTAATCTCAGGACGACCATCTACTTTGCAAGTAGCCCAGAATCACCGCATTTGAACCTCCGTAGCCACAAGAAGATTTTTGTTTCTCCTTAGATTTGAACATGAGATTTTTAAATTGAAGAAAATGAAAATTTTGTTTTTTATATTGTTCCAATAAATTATCTATTTTGTTATTTTTAAAATAGAGAAAACTTCAAATATAGAGAATTTTTTAAAACTCTCTAATAGGGAGAGAGATGTTATTTTCATATTTCCCGCCAATTAAGTTGATTTATTAGTTTTATATATATATATATATATATAGAGGTTGGTTATTATACAACCTTTGACATTTGTGCAACCAATACAACTCAATCTCAACCGTCCATTTCATTTGATGAATATGTGATTTCATAAAAGTTTTGATTRTTTCCTAATATAAAGTATTAATCATAATTAATGAACTCTATTCATATTCCATAAATATTCAAATCATAATAAATGAACTCCAATCATTTCTATAAATATCTCAATTAATTGGGTTGTAAGGGTTGTACAAATACACAAGGTTGTAAAAGAAATATACCCTATATATATATATATATATCTTTTAAACATATACAAGGATGATAAAATCATAAAATATTTTAATAATATAGTTAATGTTGAAATTCTCTAAAATAAAAAATTTAACAGAGATGGATGTAATACTTTTTTTTTTAAGTTTGACGTTTAGTTTTCTATTGTAAATAAATTATAAAAAAATTTGTTAGAGATACTTTTAGAGCCCATTTTGATCATTCTATCTCCCTAACTCAGACTCGGAACTCGTTGAGAAAGTTAGGAAAGTCTTCTCAGATATAATAAAATGATTTAATTCCAGAGCTCAAAATCCTACCTCCTATCTATCTATCTATCTCTCATATTTTCAAAACTCCATGGACATGCAGAAAATAAATGTTGGTTTCAAGTTCTCGAAAGCTTATTTAAAAGTTGATTACTTAAAATAAGATTGAATTCCAAGTTGGTTTTATTTTAGTTTTTTTAATATATAATATATTTTTAGATTTTTTAATACAAATTAGAAAAGGTGCTTAAATGGATTAACATATTTTTTTAACTTCCTTTGGGCAAGGGACCAATTTGACAACAAATACCACAAGGACATTTTTTATAATTATTTTACTTTGGGAATATAATCCATAACTTTGTGTAAATTACAGGGACTAAAAATGTAATTCACTAAAAATTATACCTTACGTTACGGTTGTGACTTGTGAGTTGGAGAGTCGAATCGTCGATAAAACAAATCATTAACGTAAGGACTTTGCACTTCTGTCGTAACGTAATTTTCACTCAAGACCTTATAGTTTTGAGGGTCTTTTACATATTTACCCTCCTTGTTTTAAAATTTGTAAGAACTTTCCTGCCCATGACCTATTTTCAAAAATCTTTGTAGCATATCATAAAATTTTCTATTGGGTCAATTTCGCAAACAAAAATAAAAGATTTCGACACATTATCCTTTTGTATAATCATTCATTGACTGAGATGTTGTTTGTTTTTCAAGAGTTGTTATAGTCTGAAGTCTTATTTCATTTCTAATTAATAAGAGATGATGTTAAAACCTGAAAGTAGAATCAATAAGACTGTTTGTTCTTGTAAACTGATAAACATATGAATAAGAGTCTTTTCAAGCAACTTCTTGAAACCGATTCTAAACTGTTTTTATGCTTCTAAATTCAAAGCGATTAAAAAATCCATCCTGTATATAGTTTGTTTCACGCAACTTATTGAAGACAAAAGACAATTGTTTGAGATTACTATATTTATAACCTTCTATATGTGTAGATTTTAGAGGGAAACAATAAGCTGATGACAATCCACTTTTCATCAGCAAAAATAAACGAAAGATCAAATATGATAATCAAAGCATTAAGCATACAAAGAATAAATTTTGTCAACAAAAATCATCAGCAACTAACGTAACAAACATATTTGTGAAAACGATAATAAAGATTCAAAAGATATACATATAACAAAAACTAATGATGAAATCGAGAGAGAATCACAAAAACCTGAGATTTAAATAGTCCAGATCGACAAAATTGATGAAATATCAACAATCAACCTTAAGAGAGATTGTTAACCGACAGACATTAAGATAGTGGATGGAAATATAAGCACTTCCCTCCGATTGGATGAGATTAGGGATCATGATATTTTTGTGATTTCATCGCTAGTTCTGCAGAACAATATAAGATAAAAACAGGTGAGTTTACCTCTTATTCTATCAGAGAAAGTTAAGTGATAAGAGGTTTTGAAAAATGGAAAAAAAGCAAACAGTTTGAATTGGTTAACCTCTTACCAAATAAATCAGAAGAGGTTATTAAGAAGAGTTTTTCTAAAAACAAGCAAGGCTTTAATTTCTAGCCGTGATCCAAAAGATACTGTTTTATCCTTTTAACCACTTGGATTTCATACTGTCCAAATTTAATATTATGATATACACGACTTGAAAGTTGCATAAGAAATGAAGACACAATAACCGGTTTATTTGGTTTAGGTTGAGGATTGAAAATGAAAATGAAAATGAAGAATGACAACGCATATATTTCCTCAATTCGACATGTGATGAAAATTTAGGTTTGCAAGGAAATAAGCTCATTCATTATCTTATATAAAATTAAACATTTTTTTCAATCTAATTAATTATTACTTAATAAATCTCATAAAAATCGAATCAAACTATTTACCTATATGTATTTATTGTATATACTTTATTGCATAGTTCCAAATTATTGGGACCAATATCAAGTGCTTAAAAGTTTGTGTTAAAAAATAAATATTAATCATAAGAATAATGTTTGATTGGTTTAAGCTTATGTTTTAAAGTTTAAAAATGCCTGAAGATTTCAGGTTCAAATTTAAAGAGAAAAAAAAAAAAATCCCTTTATGACCACGGTAGTTAAAAATACGATGACTTTGAACTACCTGTAAAATAGATGATCATTTTAAGATTAATCATCTCGCATAATGGGTTGCTTAATAAAAAAAAATTATAAATATCTTAAATAAATCCTTAGATTTCGAGATGCTCTGACTTGCCTGTTGCCACACTCCCCTTTCCTTCTGCCATCGGCCGACAACCTTAAACCACACTGATGATCATTTAAAAGAATTCCGACCGCCGGTCTCCGATAACCATTATTACCCGTAGACCACCACTCACCGGAGGCAAATGAATCGCCGGCGACCCCTATTGACCATTTTCTTCGTCATCCACCTCCTATCCTTCTCTCAATCCCTAAATTCTTTCCCTTTTCATAAAAAAGTCCACGAAATCAAAGGACCCATCAAAACCCTAGTCGTTTTAGTCATGGAAAACCGTTCATTTGATCACATATTGGGTTGGATCAAGAAAACCCGACCCGACATCGACGGGCTCACCGGCAAAGAGTACAATCACGTCAAAGCCTCCGACCCTACGTCTGATAAAGTCTACGTTTCCGACGACGCTGTTTTTGTAGACTCCGACCCGGGTCACTCGATCCAAGCCATCCGCGAACAGATATTCGGGTCGAACGAGACATACTCCAAACCCGCCCCGATGAAGGGGTTCGTTCAGCAAGCAAATACGATGGGTGTTGATGGGTTGGATCGAACCGTCATGAGTGGGTTCAAATCGGAGCTTTTACCGATTTACACCGAGTTAGCAAACGAGTTCGCCGTGTTCGACCGGTGGTTCGCGTCTGTTCCCGCGTCGACTCAGCCGAATCGGCTCTACGTCCACTCTGCAACCTCTCATGGCGCTTCAAGTAATGTAAGGAAAGATCTCATCAATGGCTTCCCCCAGAAAACCATCTTCGATTCATTAGACGAAAACGATCTCACATTTGGGATTTATTATCAAAACATTCCTGCAACTCTCTTCTTCCAAAGCTTGAGGAAACTCAAATTCATCACTAAGTTTCATGAGTATGATTTGAAGTTTAAGTATCATGCTAAAAAGGGTAAGTTGCCTAATTACGTGGTGGTGGAGCAGCGGTACTTTGATGTGAATCTTTTTCCGGCGAACGATGACCATCCGTCGCACGATGTGGCGGTGGGGCAGGCGTTTGTTAAGGAGGTTTATGAGATATTGAGGGCTAGTCCTCAATGGAATGAAATGGCTTTATTGATTACTTATGATGAGCATGGTGGGTTCTATGATCATGTGGCTACACCTGTTGATGATGTTCCTAACCCTGATGGGATCATTGGTCCTGAACCATATTACTTCTGGTTCGATAGATTGGGGGTTCGGGTCCCTACTTTCTTGATTTCACCTTGGATTGATAAGGGCACAGGTGAGTTTTTCTAGTTCTGGGCTTGAACTTTTATCTGTTTTTATGTTATTTCTTGAGGTTCTGGTTTAACAGTTCATGGGAAACTAGTACATTTGATGCAAACAATGTTGGCTTTCATCGGGCATTACTTCATATAATTGAATCTTTTCGTTTATGATTAAATTATCGAAAGAAACGTTGTAATAGAATTCAAAAGTTGTTGCCTTTTGGGTTCTTGTTCGCTGGAAATCAGTAGATACTAGATAGCTGCTTATGATTACTGATTAGTGATTTAGAGGTGAGAGTAAGTGAACAGATAAGATTGTGGGTGGAAGTTCTACGCTTTGTTGCCGTTAATTGATTTGATTGAATTTGTTTATGAGTTTCGGTTTGAGGATTCCATTGTGAAAACAACTTGTATGCATCTTTATCGGCTTGTCATCATGATCGAATGAGACTTACAGATTCTGTAGCTTTAGAGCCATTGTTTTTAACGAAGAAAGGTCTCTGTTATATTGAATTCTTAGGGATTTGTAGGCGTAGTTCTACTTTTTACTCTTCGTATCAATCTTTTTTCACCTATATCTCTTCACCGTATAATTTCTTTGCCATGCTTTACGTATTTTCTTGATATATTTTACGCTTGATATTTTTTGGAGATGCAAGACTAGAGTAGCAGACTAGGGGTGGAGACATGTTAGTGAGTCGGTAGTTAGGTTTAGAGATGTATAAAAAAGACATAGCACAAAGCCGGATCGGGGCCAGGCTGAAAATTTGGGGTAGGCCTGGTCCGAAAATGTCGCACCTGAAACCCGAAAAAGTCTGATCAGGCCCTTTTTTTCGCGATTCAGTTATGTTGTTCTTGTACTTGCTGTATTTATATTGTTGTTGCTTATTGATATCTAGTTTCTCAAAATTTAGCATATTTGTCTAATGCAGTGATCCATGAACCGAGCGGACCAACTTTGTATTCGCAGTTTGAACATTCTTCTCTTCCGGCAACCATAAAGAAGCTTTTCAATCTCGACTCCAACTTCTTGACCAAACGGGATGCATGGGCTGGGACCTTTGAGAGTTACTTCAACCTTCGTGATGTACCACGTGATGATTGTCCAGGTTTGTGCGTTTTAACACCGTCTATCGTTTTCTAAATCGACTGCCACACTTTGCATAAAGCATGGTTGTTATCTCGCATTTTGTTCAAAACCACTCGTTTTTATCAAGTATAGTTTTTCTTTTTTGCGTTTTTGCAAGAGTGATGGTTTGTTTGCGACAAGAACAAAGTACCATGGTTCACATTACAATAAAATCGCTTTATAGGATGTGTAATATGTCTAAATGTTCAATCAGACTGTTTCCAGTATCACACAGTTTTGCATCCTATGTAAAGGTGATGCAAGAAGTTGATTTGGGCCTTTAAACAATGTTGAAATAAAATGTCCTATTAGTCTTTTTTATATGATATTATTTGAGAAAATGTCTTTCTAAAAAGTGTGGTATAATAGGACTTTTCATTTAAAAAATATCTTAAATAATTTGTTGGAATGTATCAACACTTGTACATAGGATAGGATGTACAATTGTTTGGTCTTATAAAACAGTTTGTTGGTATATCTAGACACATTTGGCGGCCCGATTACTTCTGTTGTTTAGCTTAAACTCTTCTTTATTCATTCAACTACTAACGTTAATCAATTTACAACCCGAAAAAAGTGAACGATTTCAAACTAACGAAACCCTGAGACTTTCTTCCCCTTGATACAGAACAACTTCCCGAAATCAAGTTTTCATTGAGGCCAAGAGGACCGAAAGAAGAACTGAGGCTCACCGAGTTCCAAATCGAACTAATTCAGCTTGCGTCCCAGCTTAACGGTGACCACATCCTGAACACCTACCCTGATATCGGGAAATACATGACCGTTGGTGAAGCTCACCAATACGCACACGATGCAATCGCACGGTTTTTGGAGGCCGGAAGAGCCGCCCTGATGGCCGGAGCCAACGAATCTGCCATCGTCACAATGAGACCCTCTCTCAGTAGCCGATCTCCACAAAGATGAATTCAAAGCTACCAAGTAGCTGTTTAATTGTTTTTCCATTAACTGTCTGTATAATTTGTATATATACATGTTCACAAGATTTACCTATAAATTATTAAGTTTTCTTTTTTATGATTCTTAGTTAAATAATATGTTTCGATACGTTGGGTCGGGTACCGCATACAACTGTGGACCATGAATCACGTTGATAGCCACTAAGCATCATTTAGACTGATTATTCAACACAACAAATAAATAACAATTTTGTTTAATTTATACAGACAACTTAATTCATTAGGGTATTTTTTTTTTTTTTTGAAAGGCAGCAAATGCATTAGAGCATTTTTGTTAGCACTTGGCAACTTAATGGGACTATTCAGTTAGCTACATATGACTGTTTGGTAGTGGCTTAATGATATAAAAATTGATTTATTCAGTAAACTTTATGCGGAAAACCAAGTTTTTTTTAAACCCGCCCTTATCAATTAAAAAACATATTCATTTCATCTATGGAAAAAACCCCTCCATAATAAAACCTTCCCGATCTATATATAGACAGATTAATCCTCACGAATAGCTTTATCCATACAATATTAATGGAAAACCAACAAAACAAATAGCCTCTAATGGAAAAACAACGAAATAGCCCGGGTTTAATCTACAGGATTTAATAAAAAAACATGTGATCTAGCTAGCCTATCCACATGCTGATTCAAGCCATTGGCTTAGAATGCTCAAGCTGTCGCCTGAGCCATGGGACCATGGATGTAACCATTGTTGTTGCTACTTCTTCTACTTGCTATATCATTAACTTAGGGCTATTCAGTATCAGCACACCCTCATATTTCTTAGCTTACACACACTGCTGTGTGTTTGTGTGTGTGAAACAATACAATGGAGGTTTCATGGGAAACCAGTGTCACAGATTCAATCAACACAATTTACCTTCTTTTCTCAGCCTATTTGGTCTTTGTGATGCAACTCGGTTTCGCCATGCTGTGTGCGGGCTCGGTTCGCGCCAAGAATGCCATGAACATTTTGCTGACTAATGTCGTGGATGCGGTCGTTGGCAGTCTCTCATATTTTCTATTTGGGTTCGCGTTTGCCTTCGGTGGTGGGTCGGACTCGAACCCGTTCATCGGGACCAACTACTTTGCTTTAAAAGACATCCCTTCAACTTCTTATGACTACAGTTTCTTTCTTTATCAATGGGCTTTCGCTATAGCGGTTGCTGGGATCACAAGCGGGTCTATAGCGGAGCGAACCCAGTTTAGTGCGTATCTTATTTTTTCATTTTTTCTTACGGGTTTTGTTTACCCAGTTGTGGCCCATTGGGTTTGGTCTTCGAATGGTTGGCTCCACCCGGACTCTACGAGCTTGTTGTTTGGATCGGGTGCTATTGACTTTGCGGGGAGCGGTGTGGTGCATTTGGTTGGTGGAGTTGCGGGGCTATGGGGTGCACTGATTGAAGGACCGAGGGTAGGGCGATTCGATGCTTTCGGGAAACCAGTTCAAATGCGTGGTCACAATGCGACACTAGTTGTGCTCGGGACATTCTTGTTGTGGTTCGGATGGTTTGGGTTTAACCCAGGGTCGTTCAACAAGATCCTAGTCTCGTACCCCGATAGTTTCGATCAAGGTAACTGGACTGCAGTCGGACGAACCGCAGTTACGACGACACTAGCCGGATCAACTGCCGGCATTGTAACCCTGTTCGGCCGACGCTTGCTTGTGGGCCACTGGGATGCACTAGACGTCTGCAACGGTGTGCTTGGTGGGTTCGTAGCCATCACGTCCGGTTGCTCAGTGGTGGAGCCGTGGGCCGCCATAGTGTGCGGATTCTTTGCTGCATGTGTTCTTATCGGGCTCAACATAGTCGCCCTAAAGCTGCAATTCGACGACCCATTGGAAGCGGCCCAATTGCATGGCGGATGTGGGGCTTGGGGATTAATTTTCACGGGCTTGTTTGCAAAAGAGGAGTTCGTTATCCAAACCTATGACTCGGGTAATGTAGGGGTAACGAGGCCCTACGGGCTGTTCTTGGGTGGGGGTTGGGGGTTGATCGGAGCCCAGGTGGTCGAACTCTTGGCCGTTGTGGGTTGGGTTAGTGTGACCATGGGTCCATTGTTTTACATTCTTCACAAGTTGAGGATATTAAGGATATCAAGCGATGAGGAGGTCGCTGGGCTCGATATTTCGAGCCATGGTGGTTACGCCTACAGCGCGCACCCAGAAGAAACGGGTCCACGCATGTATGGTGAATACTTAAGGTTTCAAGATCAATCATGATTCTTTCAATCGGCTTACAAGATTCTGGTATATTATGTGTCGTTTTCATGTCTATAAGTGTTGTTTGTCGTTTATGGTATATTCTTTTGTAAATGTGGGATAATTGTTGTCTTGAATAAAAGATGGTTCCAAGAGTGTACGTGTCTTCAAAGTCATTAACCAATAGTTGTCTTATACTACTCTTAAGACCGGAACGGCTACAACACCAATGATTAGGGGTGTTCAAAAAGATGGCTAAAACCGATTTTTCCCATTTTCGGGTTCTTTGCAGCCTTCTTTCTTCTTCTTCTTCTTCTTCTTCTCCGCCAATCACTTACCAATCAGGCACACGGTAAAAAATATTCCATGCCAGACCTTAATTGAAGTTATAACTGAGACCGAGAGCGGCACGTAACAATGTACAACCATCATCACAACTTAATCGTTCGCATTATATATATATATATGTATGTATGTACATATGTATGTATGTATGTATGTATGTATGTATGTATATGTATGTATGTATGTATGTATGTATGTATATGAATGATCGAAGAGAATAACGATCGGAATCCGATTTTGTTAAGAGAAGAGAAGTGGAATCAAACAAGGATTTACAGCTCAAAAAAATGCAAATTTGTAAAAATTATGTACACAAGACCTGTCCTTAACTACTAGTCTTATTTCAGATGGGAATCAGAGAGAAAACCTGGGATCACAAGAGGCAGCTTCTCTATGTACATGAACAACCTCTTCTTGTTTTCTTTCGAGATCACGCTTAGATCGACGATTTCACCGGCTTCGACGCAGATCCATAAATCACTTACATTCACTTCTGTCAGGCTATCCCGACAGAAAGGGCATGATCGCGATCGCCCATGCCTAGAAAACAAAGAAATAGGCAAATTGTCAACTGAAAAAAACTAACTGATAAGCTAAATGACAGATGTAAAATGAATCGAGCTTACCAATCTCGGTAGCACTTCAAGCATAAAGAATGGCTGCAGTTTGGCAACACCACTCTGCTATTCGTTTCCATGCAAATCCCACATTCGAATTCTCTCTCGGCATCGGCATCCGAGAGTTTTCCCTTGTCGAAACCGTCCTTTCTTGAATATCTTCTCGAGCATATTTCTTTCTGTTTCCTTTCTTCCAAGTCCGTTATCCCACTTTGGAGTTGCATTATCGAAGGAAATATAACATCTGATCATGCCAAACACACCCACTTTAGTACATTGTGGATGACATTCCCAATCATTCGTTTATCAAAAATCCGCTCATTGGGACTTTTTTCACTTTTCCTAATCATGCCCCTTGTGTTTCTCATTTACGTCATTTTACATCATCATCTACTTTTCAAACTTAATTAGTAACTGACTTATTCTAGCTAGTTTGACTTGGCATTGAATTTTTTTGGGATGTCACTCACCGTAAAATTGTTTGATGCTTGCTTTCCTTTCTTGAACACTCATAGTAGTCTTGCCATCCGCGTAAGTCTGTTTCAATCGACATTTTTCAGCAAAACCAGCCTAAATATAACGAATTCGACGCAAGGGCAAAACAGTTTGGTAAGGTAAAACGAGGAGACATACCATATAAATGAAAATCCGAAGCAAGCCAAGGGCGCCTGCCATTTTGCAATCAGTCCATGGAAAAAGAAAGGAGAATAAATCGACAGCTGGGCTAAAAGAAAGTCTCATCTGAAGGCTTGCTCCATCTTGGTCCCGCGGGGAACTTAACGCCCTGCGATAACACAAATCGAATGTAACGAAAAACAATCAATCGGGTAATAAAAAGATAGCAAAGGTCACCAAAAATTTACAACCGATTGCAATCAAGAACTAGAACGTTGTCGGTGAAATGGAGAAGCTTTTGGAGTCTCTAGCCAGATGCCGGAGTTCATCCACCAACAGACCGCAATGAGCTACCGCCCATAGGCGGCAAAGGCCGGTTCATCGCCCGTGAGCACGTTTGGTAAAACTAATCGATAGACGACATCCCTTCTAACCGCCTCTTACCAGGTAAGAACACCCACAAATATGTTGAACCAAGATGCTGGCCCAGTAGGGAAAAAGTTGTTTTCCAACCCCGCTAGTGCTTTAGTCAGCGCTTACCCAGACACTTGGTAAACAACCATTTTCAGTCGGTGCTTGTCCAGACCGAACTTGTTACTGGGTTAGTGTTTACCCGGTTTGTTGATGCTAAGCTCAACAAACTAGTGACAAAAAAACTAAGTTTTGGGTGATAAGCTAGTTGATAGCTTGTAAACTAGCCTTATTTCCAATTATGCTCCTTCAAATTTTCCAATTAATTTTTTTAATATATCTTTTTGTCAGGTAATATTACATTATCATCCAAACTTATCAACTAGTTTTTACGGAACATAACATTACTAGCTTAATACGCGAACGACCTCACAGCGACCAAATTTGATGCAAAATGAAACCCAGAAGACTAACATCAAATCATATATATTCTGCAAAAAGACTCTTATTATGAGTAATAAAACCAACGAACCCACATTTTCCCCAAATCAATTGCTCACTATCTTTTAAGGGAAATTAGGAGCCCGTTTACCAAATAGTTACCAGCAAGTGCAAGTCACCACCTTTAGTTATCGGGAAAGATTTTAGACCATCAAAATGGATAGCATCTCTTACCTGGTAAGCTTGGGTGATAGTCTCATCTTAAAGTGACACCCGACCTAGGATCATACTTTTGATCTAATTTTCCATCGTGTAATCAAACAAATTCAGAAAAATTTAGCGATACCCACTTCATAGATGCAAAAACACAGCTTCAAAATTCAGAAATTTCAAACAGTAAATCACGATTAAGAACACCGGAAAAGATGAGAAATACTTACAGGGTATTGGCATGTTGTATATCGGCTTCAAGAGCTTTAAGCGAATCCTTGAAAATTTTCCCCATTACCATGATAAAAACACCAAATTAAACTCCCATCAAACGCCCAAAATCGCACTGATTTTTGTCGAAATTAATCACCGGATATGCAAATCTGCAAACGCTGGTTCGATTAACATGAAAACCCCCCAAAATCGCACTGATTTTGATGAACAATTGTTTTCTGTGCGCTTGCTAAACCCACTCCAAGTGCCGATTTCTTATACACGGAAGAACAGTGCACCCACTTTATGAATTTTTTAATCTTTTCTTGGAATGGTACTCGCTTTTTTTTTTAATTGATCTATCTACCGATTTATAAAAATTATTTGAATTTAATTATAAAAACTTTGTGTTTATCCACTGCTGATACCAACAAATATCTGATCGAACAATGAAGGATCCGCCGGTTGTCGGGTTCATGGTTTTGATAATGATAAGAACTTGGCATCTTGTGTGGAAAGTTACAATTTTTCTCCTTCTAATTTGGAATTTTCATCAAAAATGGCACCAAAGAAGTGTTATGTTATTGATTTGCCCATAACTTTTGTAGACGGCTTACGGTATTCGCCACTCAATAACCTTTTTTATGTTAAAAACTTGGAAAATCATGTTTGCGGGAACGAATTCATTGTCACAAATGCCCTACGAAGAAGAAGAATCCTATAACAAAATGAGAAGTAGCTAACCAACTTTTAGGAGAGACATAATTGATTGTATTGATCGCAGTAGTTACGCCACCCACGAAATATAAAAAAAACCTAAAGGACCATGAGTCATATATTATGGGGAACGACATTCTTACCAAGGTTATATATCTTTTTTCAGCCGACTCAAGTCCAACCAACCCATTGGGACCCCTTAGAGGTTTTGATCAAGGAGCACACAGATCCCAAAAACGCATAGTTGTTTATTGATAAGAGACTAAATTGTTAAGTAAATAGTAATCATTTGTATAAGTTTTAGCACATTTTTATGGCATTCAAGTATATACACAAATATTTGTGTTTTTTTAGTACAAGATAAGGTATTACATGTGTCGTGATAGAGAAACTATTTACTTTATTCATTATATGTTTCTTTTATGTGAAATAAAAAATAAAAAATTTAATTTTTAGTCTAAATCACCAAACCATTTTATTAAAACTACTATGGTTGGTTCACTTGGTTAAATAATTTTGTTGGTTTGATCATACTTTAAAAAGAATAATCTTATCTATTCAATTAAGATTTTATGTCGTAAAACAGTTAAGCTTTATGGTGGACACAACTTCAAATAGAATGTAAGGTCTCACAAGCACTACAAGGGAAGACGAGGAAGATCGAATCACAATCTCCTTGCAAGCAAACCTTCAAAAGACTCGGGCTAACCTGTGAATGAAAACAGCCCAAGATTTTCTTTTTGCGTAGTTCATTGCACCTTCCAACTTCACTTCTTGGCTTGTGCTAAAGAAGCGTGTCTTAAATAATTCATTTGAATTGATTTGGCTCATTTTGAGTTGTGGGTCAGGGGCGAGCAACTTTACCTGATCAAAGTTAGGGCACAAGAAGATGCACCATCCTTGTTGCTACATACGTTGGCCTTGACTTGATAAACGTAATCCCTTTTGAATTAAAGATTGGGACAAAGTACAAAAACTTGAACCAGTACGCTTAGGGAAATGAAAGCTATTGTACTAGATTCTCTAGTAGTGAAGCAAGAATAGAGAGTAAATAAGAAAGAAGGAGAGTAATGAGAGAGAAATTGAGGACTTTCAAATAAATTCATTCTCTCTTTCTTAGGCAAAATCGCTTCTTATATAACCACGATGAGGAATATCGATTGTATAAACATCATTTCTACTTTGCTACTCCTCAATTCCTGATTTGCCGAGTCATTTGTTCACCTCTTGTCCCCTATTTTGTTGATCAAGCTGTTTGGTGCTTACCTGGCATAACAATAGAAATAGTGGCCTGACCACACATTAAAAATGAACATAGTCAAAGATGACACAAATAAAAATATAATCAAAGATAACATAAATCTAAATCTTCGTTACATTCAAAAACTATATATATTTTAACAACATATAAAATCATAAATTCATCCCATTTATCGTAATTTAATTTCACAAACATCTTGAAAATAACAAAATAGATCAAAATTTTATTTTCAACAAGTAGTCAATAGTACAAGGTGAAAATTTGAATAAATCCAACTTACGAGGGCAAAAAGTGGAAAGTTTTCAAAATTTGAAACTAAAACTAAATGCGGCCCATGGGTGTGAGTGTGAGTAATGTGGGTGGGGCCCACTATTAAATCCCAAGGCTAATCGACCTTTTCGGCCGTCATCAGAATTGATACAAAATTATTAAAAGGATAATCTTTTGGATTAAGCCCTTGATTATATTTTATTAATAATCATTGAAGATAAGAATGCAACTTGCACACAATAAACAAGTACCCACCCATTCCTCCTCTTTAATTACCATCTTACCCTTAAACTTTATAAGAAAAGTCAAAAAATATTTTAAAGTTTGAATATATTAATGTGTTTGAATTTAGGCTACCTTCGCAAATCCGTTGATAAAATGACAGTGACAAATAGACGTTAATTCATGAATCAGAAAAGAATCAAAAGAAAAACAAAGAATCGAAATAAATCATGTTTAACAAAACTAGTTGATAAAAATGTAAAATGATCAAAAGTGACACCTTTTAAAATATAACATATTAACTAATACAAATAAGATGGTAAAAATATAATATATTAATTATAAGAATTTCAAATTGATTATTATAATATTTGAATTTCCCATAAAATAAGTTATCTTATTTTTGCCAAGTAACGTCTTAAAGCGATAATAACTAAATGTTTGAATTTCTGAAAAATTATGATTTTTCTATATGCATCAATATATTAAAATGAACCAATAACAATTAAATCTAATAATACAAAATTGATTTACAAGGCATATATAGAAGGAGGAAGGCCATAACCAAAACCTAGCAAAAACATCCAACAAATTGAATGCAACAAAACAACCGATAACAAAACCAGACATCTTAAATTATAATTATTAAAAAAATAGATATATGTTATATATTATTGAAATGTAACCATTTATTTTCGTTGTTACTTTTTATTGCAACTTGTTTATTAAAAATGTTTAAATAATTAAACAATTATCATCTCCATTTCAAACCAAATAAACAATTTTAAATTATTATATTTTTAAAACAACTTTGGCTTAAAAATGAATAAAATTTTCTTATCTCAAAACTTAAAATAAATATTTAATGTTAGAATTATGCAGTTTTATTTGGGAGAAACTAAAATAAAAAATATAGTGGGACGATTGAAGTAATTTAGTTACCGGTGTGAAATTGATTATTTAATAGATAATTAATTAAATTTAAATCACTTTATTATTATTATTTATTTGGGTTGTAGAGGGATTGAGTTGAAATATTTCAATTTTTCCAAATGAGGACTTATTGATTTTAAAAATTGTGGATTATTCGGACTTTTAATTCATAGATATAGATCTCGGACTTATGAATGGGGATATTTTTGAAACTGACAAACAAAAAAGGAAGTGAGTTAGACAAAAAAAAGAGCTACTTTGACAAAAAGAAATGAAGTGGCTTAGAATATTTTTCTGGGTTTAAATTTAAACGTTATCAAAAATCTTGTGGTCATGGATGTTCACTTATGATAACTTTAGATTATTTATGATTGTCTGAGAGATTAATCGGTACATATAAGTTACGGATGGGATCGATACCGTACCAGTACTGAATTTTTATGGGACTGAAAACCAAACTGTATGTACAAATTTGGTACCGGTTCGGTTTCGGGACGGGAAAATCGATACTAGGACCACGTAGGACCGAAAATAAAAGTGTTTCAAGATAACAACCAAAACTTCATAATGTTTCAATAATTAACTCAAAGAAAAATAGTTTATAATTGACAAACATAATCTAAATCTTGTGGTATATATAAACTTACTTGAGTTTCATCCATGGAGGTGCCAATTTTGCTGATGGTGATAGGGCCGGTTTTTTGAGGTGCTTATAAGTCGAAAATTTTGATCGAAGGTAATAGGGCCGATTTTTGAATATGGTTAATGGTGATAGGGCCGAAGTTTTGATCAAAGTAATAGTTATGGATAAGGTGTTAGGAGAAAATAATGATTAGTTTAGAAGAAGATAGAAATAGAATACCAAAAGTCATGTAACCCTTTAAATTCCGGTTCGGGTTTTTTTGGGAGAAATCTTGGTACCAAAACCAAAATACCGAATTTATATTAATAGTGAAACCTACGACCGAACCGATTACATGCATTCAGTCTGGTTCAGTTTCAAAATGCGGTCCTCAAATCTCATCCTTAATGTAAGTTGTCTTAAAAAGATAGAAATTAAGTGTTAACAAAAATTATTATAACTTGTACTGATGAGATAATTAATTTCAAAACTTACAACCAAACGCCTCTAAACGATTACAAAGTTGTATATATAAAATAAATAAAGAAATAAACAAGACCTAATAATTCATACTTAAAAAAATTATGCGACTTAATTTTATAAAGCTAACAAAAAAAAAAAAAAACAGAAACCGCCAACAAGCAATTGATGTCGCAAACCACCAATGTCGTGACCGACCAAAAACCAACCACCAAAACAATATGATTCTTATCTAAGAAACCCAACCACCAAAGTAGTGGGGAATCTAACAACTATATATCTTTTTTTTTCTTTTTTTTTCCCATCAATAATTATTGTATCGGTACTTCGACTAATTCTATAGTCTTTTAAAAACAGTCTGAAATTTTTTCAAGCGACCTTGTAAGACTCGAACTGATTATTTATGAAGACAATTCCTCAAACACCCAATACTTACTGATACTTGAGCTAATCCTACGATGTTAAAAATATCTTGTTACAACATTTTCTTTAATGTTTAAATTAAACATAAATAATTCTAATTACTTCTACATGATGACTCTTAATGGTACATAATTTAGAGGGCCTAGCTATCTATATACACTACACCAAACCATAATGTAGACGAAACATAAGCATAAAACTTGTAAAGGTAAAGCTGAAAAGATACCATCGTTATCTGACTACTATGAAAAGATATTGGAGCCTAGTTATCATATAAAACCGAAACCAGATCTCTAAAGAATGGCTCGTAATGATGGCGATGAGAATCGAAGAGAGGGGAGACGTACACTAAAACAACATTGATGTTAATTTTTGGATGAAGCACAATCTACTCAACATTAGTCAACTTTGTGATAAAGATTTTTCTGTGAACTCCAGTAAGAAGATATGTACAGTCAATGATAAAAATGGAAATCCTGCCTTGACTGGTATCAAAATAGAAAATGTCTATGTTAT